CAATGCTAATGGCAGACGGCCCGGCCGGTGGGCGTCGGCACGCGCACTAAATCAGGCCGTGCTTATAAAAATTGATAATAACTGCGGCCGGCGGCGCGAGCCGAGCTCGCTGCTGCGTGAGGTATGGAGCGCCGCTCTGATGTTGTAATTACAAAGTCGCTGCAGCGGCTGGGCTGCAGCCGCGCGGCTGGCGGTGGTGCGGGCCCGGTCGCGGCCATAGGCGCCGCGCCGCGCCGCGCCGCCCTGCAGGCCACAATGGCACGCCGCCCCGGACGTTGCAGAGTAATTGTTGGCGCGCCGGTGGCGCCGCCGCGGCGCCGCGGCAATCGACGGAACTGCGGCGCGGCGCGGGGCGTCCGGCGCGGTGGCCGGGCGCGGCCGTCGCCGAGGCGTCCAGCCTCCAGTTACTGTCACTGCAGGATGGTGTGCGGCGAGATACAGCCAACCGCGCCGCCGACGCCGCTCGTGCAGCGACCGGGCGGCGCCGCCATAGCTGGGCCGCCCGCGCTGCGCTCCGGCTGGCTTTATTACGGTGGCCGCCCGGGGAAGGTTGATATTAGGCCCCGTCCAGATGACGGCGATTATTGCCGTAATTACGGCGGCGAGATGCCGGGCTCGGCGGCTGCCGGCCGCTGCGCCGCCGCCGCCGCGCCCGCCCCGACAAAAAGCGCGCGCCGCTGCCGCCGGCCGCCGATTAGCATCAGCGCGCGGAGCTGGCCGGTCGGCGGCCGGGCCGGGCCGACCAGCACGCGCGGGTCGTGCCCGAGCCGGCCCGCCCGCTACCGGCGGCCGGGGCCGCATCGATCATGGCCCGTCCCGGGCCGCGTCGGCACCCGGGCCGGCACGCCGCGCCGCCGGGCCGGCCGCCGGCTGCCGCAGGAATCCGCCGGCGACGCTGGCCGGGGCAGGCACGCAAAGCACTCGGAGAAACCCTGGGGCGGGAGGGTCTGCTCGGTAGCAGCACCGTCGTGGTCAGAGAAGGACGGTCTGGGTGCGCTGATGCCGCGACAGGTCCAGACGGCGGTCCACCCTTAATGGCCTGAGTGCGCTGGTGCCATCCAAAACTATATACCGTTTATGGTTGATCATATAACATATAATAAACCATCACCGTTTGGACCTTAAGTAGCATTTTTGTAAGTTGACCTTGACCTATGATCTTAATGCACACGTAAACTTAAGTTTATTGTGTGGTCTAAGACCGCACGCCATGGTGCTATGCCAGGAGGTTCAAATCTGCTCCCTCCAGTCAATGGTGCTCCGCTGAGGAGTCCGGTCAATGCATGATTAAAGCTGGTTTTCATCGACTCGACGATTCACCTGCTACCAGCACAGACACCGCGAGGTAGTGGACCAGCACTGCATCCCCGAAATCAGGGCGCGCTGCGTTGGCAGTTGGATATCTGAACAGGGCGGCCTAAGCCGTCACACAGCAGGCAGCGTCCACGAACATCCGACATCTGCCGGCCAGTCGTACATCGGTGGCCGTCTGATCCCCTAAAGCCAGCGGTACATCGGCGGCCGCCTGATCCCCTGAAGCCAGCGGCGCATCGGCGGCCGCCTGGTCTCCTAAAGCCAGCGGTACATTGGTGGCCGCCTGATCCTCTAAAGCCGGTGGTACATTGGCGGCCGCCGTGTGCATTACCTCAACCTAACGAGTCTTTTCGCCCGAGGAGAACTCGAAAGGGGGCATATCGCGGGGTTAAGCTTCAGGGCCTGGAGCACCCAAACAACGGATGCAGCTCTGCTCCCCGCAGATGGCTCCACACAAAGTGAGGAAGGCGGTCAAGTCACTTCCAAAAGGCATCAGGGCGTACTTTGCTAGTACTGTTGCTCGCTTTGCACGTAGCCTAAGTCATCTTCAGCAATCAAATGGTGGGCATGACGTTGCCTGTTGTGCTTTAGGGGGTGCATTTTCTGTGCTTCATGTGTCTCGATGATAGATTGCTAAGAATTATCATTATTCTCAAACAACAGTGTGCTTCACGCAAAACCTCAACGACTTATCCCTAACAGACTATGTCAACCACGTTACCTGCAGACATTGGACGCAACTAGCCTCAACTGTCGCTCGGATTTTTTGTGCAATGAAACGTTATGTTAAGCCAATTAAATATCTTATGTCTCTTTTCTGTCCATGTTTCTATCCTATGATCTAGATATATATTATACATGCTAGCAAATTATATAAACATAGGCCATTGATCTACTTCGATTCGATCGATCTATTCGATCTACTTCCGATTGAACTAAACTGATCTCAAAGCACAGCTTCGCATTTTCAAGTGGTGCATATTTGACTGACTCATGATATACGATTCGTATTATACCAAATACTAAATTTGATCATGGTATTTACAGGTATATCTAAATATCATGATTTGTAGAAATGTCAGATATTTGAGCCATCAAATTTCTTCCAGACTCCTGCCAGTTTGAAGCGACGGCAAGCGAAATCCCGAGTATCTAGTGTATGTCTCTTGAGGGGTGAGGTCGGGAGGAAACAACTCCCATGTCCTACAACCCTGGCTATGTCCCTGCATATCAGACTCACATAAACTCGCAACCGAGGACATCGAATCATTGGATCACGGGAAGGAAGCCAAATGCTTATCCGGCTCTCACGATTCATGCTGCTACCTGGAAAAGTAAGGCAAATTACTCAGTGTCTCGTTCAGTTTGGGTGATTTATCGACATGCTTTCATGCGTCCACTGCCGGATTATCTGCATTTACGGTGACAGGTCAAGGAAAATCGAACATTTCAGAAAACCACACGGTGCACGACCATATTTTTTCGTTTGAATGTCTATCTGTGGGCACTCGGCTTTGCTGTTTTGTTCTGCTCTGGCCTGAGGTCTTCCAGCGCTACATTGCGCAGGGAAGTCAGCCTATTTCCGCTCTTTGAACGAATAACAGATGCCAAGAGGCAGCTACTGGAGGGTGCCAATGGTCAATGTAGATGCCAATGGCGGCGTGAGGACTGTATCGATATCGGACGACCACAGACCACAGACCAGACGCAGACCACCCAAACTAAATTTGTTGGTAAGAGGTGTGGGGTAACAAAGACTGGTCATCAAGTTCAGACCTTTAAAAAATAGCTGTTTAACAAATGGTTTGCGTAGGTGGCATCGTGTTCGTCGCGCCTCCTAAGCATAGCTTGCTGTGTGAACTCTGAATCCGTACCCAAGTTGAGCTGTCCAGCTCAACAGACAGTTTTGCCTCTACCCTATCGCCAGGCAAGAGTGAGGAGAGTTTTACCTGGCGCGCAGTGCTGTGGCACCGCTGCCCCGGGCCTGGGTTGACCCTCACCGGCTAGTTACCAGCTGACCTTTCCATTTTGGTCGGTCCAAGCATTGCGCCCCTTCTGGGGGTCGTCCCAAGTGCCGCCAGATTACGAGTCCAGTAGCTTTTCCCCAGACCACGGAGACGGCGTCATATGACATGCCCGTCCGATATTTTGACCAGGCTGGCGACGACTCGAGGACTGTGGTCATATGACATGCCCTCCGATATTCTGACCAGGCTAGCTGACGACTCGAGGACTGTAGTCATGATCGAGACCAGCAGTTTTCCCCCAGACCACGGAGATGGCGGCATGTGACATGCCCGTCCGATATTCTGACTAGGCTCACGACTCGAGGACTGTAGTCATGTGTGCCCACAGAGCATTTCGGTTGTACTACTCAGAACATAAAGATATATTTCTTCATAAGCATGATATGTATACAAAATGTTTTGTTCCTCTCATGATCGAGAAGCTGTAACGGCCAGCCATTCTTTCGCCTGTGGCCATTATAGCATATACTCACTTGGGCAGGTTTCTTAAGAGCTAGCAGACCACCAAAACTACGAAACAAAAGTCTTGTCTTTGCACGGGAACCGCTGGATTCCCCACGTCTTAGTCACATAGGTACCAAGAGTGACGCTACGTCGCTAACAGCAACTTGATTTTACCGATACCGGTATCTCCGTCCCATTCTCTGTCAATAACATTCTACGACCGGCGATGATGTTGGGTCGCTGCATAAGACGGTAAGCTATGTGATACTCCAAACAGGCTTTGTGCCAGGTGAGGCGAGCCTGATCGGCACCTGGACCCTCCGAACTCTGGGCCTCGGTTAGCCAGTATTCCGAGAAGACAAGCCAGGTCACGCCCGTCACAATTTGACGTCATGACGTTCGCTGTCGGGGATTACAGAAAGAGCTGTAGAGCATGGCTTTGTCACCACGTCGGGCCGACCTGTATTAATGTCAGTCATTTCTGTCGCCTACCAAGTCGATCTTTTGCGTGGTGATTATGAGCTGAGCGACCCAATATCGGTCGCAGGTCGCGCTGTGCTCTAAGTCAAAGCCCTGACGTCAGCTCTTTACTTAGCCACTGAGCACTCAGTCTGGCTTGGGGCGTGACATCACTGATCCTTCCTAAGAAGCAAGGTCAAGGTCAGACACGACCAAGGGCAGCCGGAAATACTTTCGCAGCTCGTCAAGGCCTAGGGCTAAACTGCGCATCTGTGTCCAAGTGTAATCCTGTGGTGACATGCCACGGAATAACTGCACCTCACACGCTGCAAGAGAACCGCCACAAGGGACGCTGAGCTACTAAAGCCAGGGCCATCCCACTTCACGGGATTCCAGTCACTGCATTTCAGTGGTTGCTTTGCTTGTTTGCTTGCTTGCAGCAACTTCTCAGGCTTTGGTGTAACACAAGTTCCGTGGACAGCCAAGGGTAGGCGTTTTGGGAGCCACTGCACCCACAGGCCGGCCGCAGCGTAAACCTGCTGTGTTACGTCGCGACGCGCCCTCCCACGCGTCCTCCCACGTCGGCGGCGTCTCCGCCGCACCGCAGTCGGCCCGACCCTGGCCGGCGGCGTCTCCGCCGCGCCACCGCCGGCATGTCGTCTCGCAGGCGGGAGGCGGGCCTCTGAGGCCGGATTACCGCCGCGTCCCCTGCGTCATTTGCCGAAAACGCTGATCCCTGCAAACGAGTTCTGCAATCGGCCGGCTGCAGTGGAGGCTCAGCGCTCTCACTACCGACAACATGGCGAGCGTGGCGGCGCTGCTGACCTGTGTGGTGACCCTGCTGTGCGCCTGGCCGGCAGCCGTCGCCGGTCGCGGAGGTGAGAGACTCGCAGCCCCGGCCGCGGCCCGCGCGAGCGACTCAGGCGAGCTGCCAGCTTTTCTAGGTCGCTTCCTGCGCGCGGTGGCCGCCCATAAGGCCGTGCAGCTGCACAGGCTCAGATTGTGGGGTAGGGTTTCGCCGTGATCGCCGGTTCACCTGGAAACGAGCTCCCCCCGTCCCCCCTCCTAACGCGAGTAGCGGGTAAGCCCGAAGAAGGTGCTGGTTCGAGGTCATCTCGCCCGACGGCGACAGGCTGCTCGAGCAAGGTCCGGTACTTGATTTATCACGGCTCAATATTGGACATCACGTGTGAATCTGATTCACATCGATCATCGGATTGGGGCCCTGTTTTATTTTTTCTGAGCAGCCAACCTGTTTGTGGTGCATGTTCAAATCAGGCTGATCTTTAAAAAAACAGCGTGGTTCCGATATACTGACTGATTCCTGTTGCTGTACGCTTGTGAAATGACAGATGGATTGATGTGAGGCCTTGACAACACGACTGTTAAAGAACGGGCGAAGTGAGCTGCGTCTGATTTGCAGCCCGCAGCGCTTTGTGTCCGGGCACGTGGCGCACCATTGGCTACATAACTTGCGTATTTGACTGTGCTCTATTCGAGCCCTTCTTAAAAGCTTATAAGTCACCAAAGCGTCCAGAAATTGCATGATAAAGGATAGCAATAGCTGACAATGTGCATCACGACCTAAATGGAAATGCAGCCTTTACAGCCGCCCGTCACATGACATGTAATTTTTATAAGCATTTCTAAGTGAATGAAATGGCTGTGCTCCTCATTACCACAATAGTTCCCGCTTAATACTGCTGGGAATCTAGAACCGCAACGGATGTCGGGTTTCGAACAGTCGTACTTTGGCCTTGAGGCGACGTTCAGCACTGCCCGACGGGCGGCAAGCCTCTGCCACAACAGACTAACAGGTAGCCTCGCATTATGTCATGATGACGCATTGGCTAGGGGCTCACCATATAGGCAACCATGAGGCGGTAGGCTCCCAACTCAAACGTACCTCAGTTTTGATGTCGATTCGCACATTTGTGCCGTCCCTTGGTTAGATGGTTGTCTAGAAGTACAGCCGAGACTTGTTCATTCACCATAATAAGAACGCGTTATGCCCGCAAGAAACTGCCGTGATCATACTTTGTCACCCGATTGGCCTGGACCCAGGTCAAATGACAGAATAAGCGTAATCACAATAGCTATATTCCTAGGGTACCTGCCGACAGTCCATAAGCATTTGGAAGCATTAAGACAAACTAAGTTGCTGTGTTAAACCATGCAAATGACCAACAAATTTTATCTCAGGGAATTATTTGCCAGATGAACCAGATGTTCTTCCATTCACCCTCCAGAAGTGCTCCAGCATGCAGACACTTCGTACCGCTCCTTGTTTACTGCAGCCGTGGAACCGTCCACATATAGAAAGAAGGGCCGAATGGCGCCTCCTGGGCTCTTGGTGCACCACTGCACCAGGCTGCCGCCTTTGACCTAAAAAGCCGGCTCTCCACTACGGTGTCCGGCAGGTCATCACGGTGTCCAGCAGGTCTGAAACCCAATACCGCACTGAAAACTTCTCGATCCTTTGGATGTCTACCGCCCACTTCAACAGGAAGCGTTCCTCGTCGCTTTACCAGACGCGGCTCAGAAATCTGGGAATGGCTTCATCTAGCGGTCTTGTTGGCATTTGCTGGCAATGGCATTTGCACCGGTGGGGGCAAATGCCATTCCCTGTTATGAGTCAGTTGTGGCCAGCTTGTGGTTCGTGGTCTCTTCATAGCAAGAAAGGTCGAGGCCATTTTGCAGAATCTGCAGAATGGCTGTGTGACTGGTGCCGATGTCCTGCGCCATCTTTTGGAACGAATTAAGTGGGGCCTTCGGTCAAGACATACCTAACTTTTGAGATGTACTCTGAGCAGATGGTGTACAAAATCGGCACTGCTCTTTTTGTGCCATATTCTTCCATTTTCTCCCGTATTTTAGTGCAAAACAAACCCGTCTTTCAGAAACATTTTCTGTAGGCACAACGTTCGTTTTCACAATGGGGCGCACTGGGCTTTGAAAGAAATTCTAAGTTGTTGTATGTTGTGAGTTGCGACGATAGATTTCTTTTACCAATACAGGTCGACAGCTTTTGTGTTTTGTTCAGTGCTGAACAACGATATGATGACAAGTCAATTTGATATACATCAACTAAAACTCCAAGGGATGTGCTATCGAAAGAAACGAGTAAGCACGTGCATGTCCGCTTCTAGTCTTTGTCATGCGCATAGCAAATCGAGGGGGAGGGGCGCAGCGCTCCCGTGGCTCCCGTGCTCTACAGCTATGCATAATGGAGGAGGGTGCATTAAGATTCATGCTTAACTAACATAAATGTACGCTAAGTATGCACTTACTTTAATTATAGATTCGTGGTGATTTCTCACCTTCAACTTAAGCTAGTACGATTGGAGATGCTGCATTTGTGTTTTACCTGTTTCTATATTAAACTTTGATGCGGAGGGCTGCCATTCAGCCCAAGCCAATATGTCATGCTTAAAAAGTGACAAAAAGTTGCAAAAATATGCGACGCACATATTTAATCTCACACTGACACTTTCCATCCTGTGAAGCTACGACCTGTGAATCCTCGGCCTGCGCTCACCACACGCAGACTGCATACAATTCGTGCTATAAAAACGAGCCCGGCCAGTCAGTTAAAACTTCGGCGCTGGGATGGAAGCTTATAAAACTCTGTACTTCTCAAGAGCTATGCATAATGGAAAGGAAATACATGCGTTAGAAGCCACCCGCATTCTCCCGAAAGGTGCTTAAGCCATGCCGTCTCCTTCCATTTGGGTTTTTATTAGAGGTCGTGAAATATAAACAATCGTACTTATAGCTTTCCTTCTTTAATTCGCAGGTAACAAGAGTGTCTACATTTTTAACGCTGTCTGGCAGGAAAACGACACCAATGGATGCAACCATGAGCTCCAAAAGTCAGGCGCTGTTAGGCCCATAGCAACAGCCGCTTTCACAGAAGATTACGGTGCAAAACTTCAAAAATCTTTTTAAAACTTGTCAGCGTTTATTTTCTAAGCACACACCTTTTATCAGCGCTTTTTGGCTAGAAACGTTTCGCAGAAATTTAAAAGCCTGCTCGTAAAGGCGCATAATTTGATTAGGTAGCAGTTAGCTGGCTATAAGCAAGACCATGCTTGTATGGACAGATATGGCGTCAGAAACTTTTCAACGCTTTTTCAAACATCCGATGGCACTTTGACGCAGACGCGACAAAACAAAGTTGTGTATCCTTAGTGTCCCTGTTCATGGGTGTGCATTACTCACAGCGGTTACTTACGGTGCTTACAAAGCTCGCTTACAGTACTCACAGAACTTACAGAGCTCACATACCTAAACATGATCGATGATGAGTGATCCTTGAATGAAACAATTCTCTAAACCCGCCTTGCTCCACACAGCACCGATGTAAACAGAAATGATGCAGCCAGCATCCAACACGTTCGACCGATTCACATCGCTGATCAGTATCGTCCTCGAATTTGAGTGAGCTAAAAACGTGGGCAAGGCAAGGCAATGTCCTTAAAGGGCCATGCTCATATAAACACTTATTCATAGTTGGATCCACGTAGTTAACCTTTTGCATATTAATGGACCTATATAAAAGCAATCCTTTCCCTGTCATATTGTTCAAGATATACTTCAACTTTGTAGAACCATTAAACAACTTATCTAAAACTTGTCAGTACATTATTCAACGGTGAAAACGGCGAATGTCAAATCTTCCAAATTCTAAAAGTGGGCGAAGCATGTAAAGTAATGTTTTTTTTTTTACACGGCCTCGGCCCCCTTGCTCGGTAAGCTTATTCCTTAGAAAACAAACAAAACAACCTTAGAAAACAATTGTGCTGAAAGCAAAAAGCAAAATTCTCAAGGGGTGCAGAAATAAGGTCAAGAACGGGGCACACATTTCACCTTAACGGTTTCCTCAGTTGCAGTCTTTCAACATAGAAACATTTCCCAACTTAGCAAAATTATACCTCACGTGCGTTTGTGTCCAGAACAATGATGTTAAAAAAGCCTCCGCTCAGAACATTGATGTGCACCTACGCCACAGGAGTCTCATACGACCGGTCACAGATTACATATCTGTAATCTATAATCGCTCTAGTGATGAGGTGCACGATATTCTAGTGATAATTCTAGTGATGAGATACACCATAGATCGATACCGATAGGAGATAGCCGAACGACATATGGCGCAAAGGTACTGGAAAGGCGTACGCTTTAAAGGTGGTAGTGGTACAAGCTATCGCCTTGAAACAGATGTGTTCAGGTCTGGTTTGTGGTGGCGAATGACCGTTGGTTCAGTCATTAGTAGAAGCACCACCTTTGCAATGTAATGTGATTTTTTTCTGGTGAGATGGAAGCGGTGGGTGGTTTTTCAGAATGTGATTACCAAGAGGATTCGTTCACTAGTGATCTTTGAACTTTAATCGCTCGTATGCCGCTTTTGTGGCGTCATAACTGTTCAGAGCCGAGGATTCTTTCCAATAAGGTTGTCCAGAACGTAATAACACATGGCCTATAACTGTACTGGGTTGTGAAATGTTTGCATATTGGAAAGCTGACACTGAAGACAAGTCAATGCCCTGAGTACGCCACAAATGTGAGATTACAATACGACGAGTCTTTTGATTGTTTTTTGTTGCATAACTGTGAGCTCCAGTCTCAGCTGAGCGCTCAATCGAGATAACATTAGCAAAGGCTATGCTACATCGAAAGCCAACCACGGTAGCCCGCCGTCAAACAACTCTCTTCGGTTTGTCATCAAGCAATAACGAGTGACTGGCTGCAGCAAATGTGAGCTAGATGTGTAGTTAATTATGATTTGCTGCCCAAAATAGACCACACGACTTAGTTTTACCAAACGGAGCTGCGGAATTCGGCATTTCTTTAGTGCGTTGTATAAGCATACAAGAAATAAAGAAGTCGACTTAACCTAAACTTTCTAGTCATTAGTCACTGACGCATAAGGTTTTTTGCCAAAACTAATTTTGTTTTGGCCTATGAAAGCTAAAATGTGACTCAGAAGTGCGCAAGTCCGCACTATTGTTTTATGAATCTAGGCCAAAAAGTTTCTTCCAGGCTACATTACTGCACAACTGCATCAAGGCTGCTTCAGGGTTACATTAGGCCAGACCGAAATTCACGATCCATATCGTATCTGGTGTGTAAAACACGCTTCGGTGCAGCTACACTGAAATGGGTTGTAGTACAAAGGGACCAGTCAACTTCTGATAACCAGCGGTCAGCGTTATCATTACATACACAGCTTGGAATTTGTGAGCTGTCAAAGGGGTAGTTCTCAAAGGCTCTGATCACGTTTTTTCTAGTTAGTTGTAACATAATGTCCTCCGACCGCGCGTCACGTGGGTCCAGATCATAGAATGTCAAAGGGATTTAAAGCACTTTGTCAAGTGCTAGACGACTAAAAAGTTCAAGAAGTCAAATTGATGACCACAGTAAGATAAGAGCAGGTCATATAAAGTTCGGGCACACCAGATGAGGTCATCTTATTGTCCACAACACTATACAATTATGAACGGTGCTTTGAGTATGAGTCTGGGAGAGGCATTCGAAAGCATTAGCAACAAATTCCCTGGGGGCAGGGGACAAACGAAGCGCTAGCCAAAAGACGCACTAGAAACTAGAAATCAACATCAGATGTAAAGCGACCTGAAGGCAAGCACCTTGCAGAGCACCAATGGTAAGAACACCGGTCTTCAGAGCACCTCTTATGTGCTCGGTGATTACGTACAAGGGGTCAGTAAAACTGAAATCACGTACTGTTAATATTTTCACAACATACAAGAAACAACCCAGAAATTGACTAGCCACAGGTCAGCAGTGTTGATCCTACCAAGATAGTAGAACTGCTTCAGTTATCTAAGAGTGACACTGAGTGGGTCTGGCACGTTCGGTCGCAATCGCACTGACATTACAGCAAGTGTATATGGACACACAATGGTTCAAAGTACATTTTGTATGCTAGTTTTACATGCTGCATAATGCCTTCCAGTGTAAGTCACACAAGTCAACTGTAACGGGCCAAAACGGGTCGTGTTATAGAAAATTGAAAGTGCGTCTGTCACTGCAAATGCGAGCGAACGTGCCAAACTTGCTCCAGTAGCACATTTAAATACCTCAAACAATCATTTACATATTTGATTTGAATACAATTTAAATAGAAAAAGATAATGGTTGGAAAGAAACAGCGTCTTGAGAATCCCTGTAGTGGACGAATCTTGAGCCAAGCAACATGCAGTAGCTCTGACCCTGCGGTGGCTGATCCCACGGGCCTGGCCGGCCAACGGCAGCATCAGGCTATGGTAATCCTCTGCGGTGGCCACAGATGAGGAACCGAATTATCTGGGATGCAACCAGCCTTCGACGGATGCCCCGGCTCACGATTCTTTAAGATGATTTTCTGCAGCGGGTGGACTTCCTGTTATTTGATCCCGGATTGCGGTATGTGGTACCCATGTCATCAGTTAACACTGAAGCAGAACTTTTCACTAGCTGGGCTAGTTATATTTTTAATGCATATATGTGTTCCGAAAAGCTTGCACTAGCAGCTTTGAGTTCAGAGCGCCGGTTAAACAACGTTTGTTGTGCATACCCTAAACCCATTACTGAGGTTGCGTCACCCAGTTCGGTGGATCGTTTTGTCCTCGAGCTTTCGCCAGGGAGAAATGTGGAGTGTTTACGTGACGCGTAATGCTACAGCACAACCACATCAGACCGGGGTTCGTTCCCCTTGACTGGTAGTCAGCTGAACTTATGATGGCAATCCGACCAAACGATGTGCATGTTCCGCGTCTCGTACCCAGTGCTACTAGATGAGGAGTTGATCGTCTTTCCCTTCCTCTGGACCACTTAGACAACAATGCAGTGTTACAGAAAATTAGCTAGTCTTACGGAAGGATCAAGGCGTAGTATTGATATTGTGGATGGATTGTTGTTCGGACTATTAGCCTCGTCTGATGTGTATGTACATTACAGTTCAGTCAGTTAACTTTTTGGCCGTCGTCAGATGTTATGGAGTTCTGCGAAGTCCTGGATGACGTCTGGCTTTCAGCCATGCGCGCGTTAAATATACACGTAATAACACGCAAACCACGTGCGTGTCTGTCGTACCACGTAAGCGTTGTCGTGCACATGCCAACACACTAGACGAATACGAAAGTCCGAACAATTGTCCCATCCATGGAGAAATTATAGATTGTCACCAAAACTGTTATTTCATCGATTAGCACGTCCTTTGAAATAGTGAGGGAAAATTGCGTTACATTTGCACTGCTTGTTTAGATGAACTCGTTTCAGGTCGTACGGGGGGCGGGGGGGGGGGGGGGGTTGTTGTGCCATCCTCCGGGGAATACTGTCTCCAGTGCATCTGGATAACCATTGCTTTGTACCTCAACAGGTCGCTATTCCTTTAGTCGGCGAAATGCCAATTGTTGGAAGAAGAAATTCGACCCTTATGCTTCAATCATTACATCCCGGCAATATGTAGTTCATTTTATTTACACAATAAATAAATAAATAAATAAATAAATAAATGAATATACATATATGCATATATATATATATATATATATATATGTGTGTGTGTGTGTGTGTGTGCATATATATATGTGAATATATATATATATATATATATATATATATATATATGTATATATATATATATATATATATATATATATATTTATATATTACATCCCGGAATATCAAATATCAAATATCGAAATATCAAAAGCATGTCATATCAACCTATTTTGGCGTCCTCTGACATCGGAGTAAACTTTTTCGGAGCTCAGTTTCTACTAAAAAATGTACCTTCCAATCTCACCTAAATACCATTATCAGAAATCATTGGTACTCGACGATAGCCATCACTGGACTAAAAAGAAGATGAATCCTAGGGCGCGGCGTTGTTACTATTGTATGATATAATTGACCCTAGCACTGGTACATATTACCGCCGCACCCTTTAGCGCAACGGACAGGTGGCAGCTATTTGCAATTATAGAACACGAAACTAGTTTTTCGATGCCTGCATCGTCTTCAGTTTTGAAAGCTGCTTCGGCCTACGCCAATCCGCTTGCTTTGGTCTATACATGCCATGTTACGTGCCGGCCTGGAAAATGGTTGCCGTCTTGTTCCTGCTCAAAACCATCTAAACACTGTTGCTCTGACATGCAACAGCTAACCCTGCTATATCGGGTCACCCGATTCGGATGGGCAAGTGTGACGTCATTCAGTCTGACACTGACATGCCAGCGACAACACAGCAGTGTCATCCCCCCTGTATGGTATCCTGCTATTGATGGCTGTGCGCGCTGTGTCTCTGAAGGCCAGGGTCGTTTCAGTGGCCTGTTACTGATAACCCTGCCGTGTCTATGAAGGCCAGGGTCGCTCCAGTGACCTGTTAATGATAATTCTGCCGTGTCCATGAAGGCAAAGGCCACCCCAGTGACATGTTACTGATAACTCTGCCGTGTCTATGAAGGCCAGGGTCGCTCCAGTGACCTGATACTGATAATTCTGCCGTGTCTATGAAGGCAATGGGCGCTCTAGTGACCAGTTACTGATAATCCTACCTTGCCTGTTAAGGCCAGGGCTGCTCCAGTGATCTGTTACTGGTAACTCCGCTGTATCTCTCAGAATCAGGGCCGCTCCAGTGACTTGCTACTGATAACCCTGCCGTATCTATGAAGCCCAGGATCGCTCCAGTGGCTTCTTACTGATAACCCTGCCGTGTCTTTGAAGCCCCGGGTCACTCCAGTGACTTGTTACTGATGGTCCCGCTGTGTCTTTCACAGGCAGGGCCGCTCCAGTGGCCCGTTACTGATAACCCTGCCGTGTCTCTCATAGTCAGGGCCGCTCCAGTGGCCTGTTACTGATAGTCTCGCTGTGTCTCTCACAGTCAGGGCCACTTCAGTGACCTGTTACTCCGTCCACGAGACGTTCCGTGTCGGCCAGGTCTTCTCCGACGACAACTGCAGACGGGTGAAATGCATCGACTTCATGGGGCAAGGCTTTGTAATCCCGGTTGAGAGGTAAGATAGGTCCCGATGCTGTGAGTTTAGACGACGATAATTCTGGGGGATGTACCCGATTGGCCTTCAATTCAACACCACTGAGATCCATCAGATCCTCTCTCCTGATCCATCAGATCCTTCTCTTCCTCTAATTCTGGCGTGTCTATGAAGGCAATGGGCGCTCCAGAGACCAGTCCAGTTACTGATAATCCTACCTTGCCTGTGAAGGCCAGGGCCGCTCCAGTGATCTGTTACTGATAACCCCGCTGTATGTACAGGCGTCGGGCGTTTTACCGGACGTTCGACCACTGGTGTTCAGCTCTGTTTCGTTGTGTTTTTCACTTCAACGAGTTGACATTAATGCCACGCAATTTTGGTAATCTGCCTTTCGTGTGAATTAGCTTAGGCACGTTTGACGATGCTCGCCATGCATGATGCCAATTTGACATGTTGCGGTTGAAAAAGGATTTCTGGTTGAATTCCGTGGGACGTGTGCAATAAAACAGCCTTGTTTACAACGAACTTCAAAGTAAATCCCATGTTCGTGTTTTGCTTTACATGGCGTACTTATCCACTTCACCGCAAACTGACCTAATCAAATTATTATCATGCCATTTTGGCTATCTGCATCTCACGTAAATTAATTCATTCCGAACACGGTCAGTGCGTGGCAGGGTAGATTGCAGAGATGCAGAGTCCGTTTTTCACCTTGAAATGAAGCTTATCGCATTTCTGTTCTGAATTTGAACGACTGAAAAGCGCTGTCCCTTAACGCGATTATCACGTTCTAAACACACATTTAGTGCAAACCATGCACACCGCTGAACGTATTGTTCAAAACCCAACGACCCTGCAAAGCACTGACCGCGTTCGGAATGCCCGCAAATCTTCAGGATACAGTTGGTGAAGTCCCAATGACGTGCTCATCCACAGCAAATTTCTACAGGCGCGTAGCTAGCAATATCAGCGCTATTGTTCCAGTGAAGAGCAGAGGAAAAATACAGAAACGGGCTCGTCTCGTCAACGTTACGGCTTATTGTTAGCCACACAGTACGCGTAACGATGTATTTTGTAGGGTATTTGACTCAGGACGTAGCGCGGAAGGCTTCCACGCACCTCTGACGCTGCATGCCAACTCCTCGCCAAAACACAAGCGCAAAAAGGGTAATCTGCTGCCACTTTCTGCTAAAGACTGTACCAGATATAGGGACCGGGATTGCGATGCAATAATACTTTCAGCTTGGTGACTTGGTCAGGATGGTCTTGTCTGAGGGGTCTTGTATGAATGGCTGGTTCCGGGCCATGCCGCCGGTTCATGTGACGTCGAAGATTAATTGATATAAACGTAAAATATATTCGAGAATAAACAGGATGCCACAGTCATTAAGTATCTCCATATTTACTGCACATGGCGCATCTTGTGACGTAAGCTGATAAATGATGTATGATTTTACCTCCCCCATTACATTGAAGCTAGAAACACCAAGTTCTCACGCTGCAAACAGTCTGAAGAACGTGAAGCAAAACCTGATCTTGCCCTGGCAGTCCAGCGTCACAGCCACACGAGACCAACAACGCTTACAAAAATTTCGGCTAAGAAACCCTCTCAGTTTTTGTGATTAACATCCAGTCCAGAGGCATACGGTTTTGACATCTCTCGATCACAGGAACAAAAGCCGAAGAGAAATCGTTGCAAATTTATTAGATTCGTCAGCTAAAATCACTGGGTACCTCCTCGTCTCAAGTCAGCCGACTTTACCAATCTCACTTGCCCATATGTGCGCGAGCCATACACACTGACGAACCTTTATATGCCGAAACTGCGAGGGCCTCCCTCGCGAGAGGCATTCCAGTCTGATGATAGTTAAGGTCCACTTTTGTGAGTTTCAAATGACGGTTGGATCAATTCGCTCATGCCTGGTATCATCTGCGTGATTGTATCACTCCCGCCTTTTAGGATGCCACTCGGGCCATATCACACAAGACACCCGACTGGTATAATCACGAGCTAGGCCGCAAGCCCAGTAAGTCTCGCTTGACCTTCGAGAAAACAGTCTGAGCTGCCGGACCGGGCCTCGACATTCACGCTTTCAAGAAGCTAATACCTTGGCATTCCTGGTCGCGGGCTCATGCGATTTTCAACAACAACAAAAAACGTCTTTCTTTAAAAGGCGTGCTGTATAAATTGAGAAGCATTGGCATGGAAACTGTTTCGAGGAGCGCCTTTTTCTTACATATCGAGACATCACCATTTTACCATTAAAATCGAGACATCACGATTTTACCTGTTCCGTCAGATTAGCAAGGAAACCGCGGTTGTTCAGCTTGCGAAGAGGCTGAAGAACGCCGGTCGAAACCGGGTCCAGATCTCAACGACCAGGCGTCATGATGACACGCGAATATCATGTTCTGACTGCGGAAAAGCGGACGGCCGTAAAGATCAAAACGTGCGTCGATAAGTTCGGGCGACCACGCGCTCTGGAACCCATACCAAAAATGCACCGATTTTGGGATATTTTTCAGGATGGCTGTTAAATCTCAACAGCCGGAGCAGATGAAGATTGTAAACCAGCTGCACAGTGTAGGCCCATATCTCGGTTGCACCTCGCTTACGGACCTCAAAACTGTCCGACCCATAGGACCTATGAGTCCTATGCGCGTCACTAGCGCACCAGGTGCGCTAGTGATGGCCCGAGAAACGAGCAGCGTCCGACACATAGGTGTGCTAGTGATGGCTCGGGAAACGAGCATTGTCCGACCCATAGGTGTGCTAGTGATGGCTCGGGAAACGAGCAGTGTCCGATCCATAGGTGCGCTAGTGATGGCTCGGGAAATGAGCAGTGTCCGATCCATAGGTGCGCTAGTGATGGCTCGGGAAACGAGCAGCGTCCGACCCATAGGTGCGCTAGTGATGGCCCGGAAAACGAGCAGTATCAACTTTTCTGAAGCTGGTCTCGGACACAACACGCTGAGACCATGCGAACTACATAGGCGAAGAGGTCTGTTTGTCATGACCAGCATCCGCCCAGCGTGTTTGCGTTCTTGGTAATAAGTTGGTAATGAGCGAGACAACTGTAATTTATTTGAAATGCATCGACTCCATTGAAGCATTAAAAGCCGTGATAGTAGCAGTCAGCTATTTTTCAAGCAAATCGATGCCTCATCCATGGACCTCCGCCCGTATCAGCTGTTGGCATCGGCTGCCAAGGGCGCTGGCGTCATTACCTTAGTTTCTGTCATTCTCACCGTGGTGTAGAATACTGACAGAAGCTGGCGTCGGAAAGTCACCTAGTTGTCCTACGTCAGTGAAATAATCAAAGCGTGACTATTTCAGAGAAAGCGGATGTGCCAGCTGCCAAACCTGCCATACCGTATCCTTCACACACGCATCAGCATAACGGCTCGAAGCTCTCACAAGAGGTATCGGGTTATCCGTTCCCCGCCGCACGATACATTTTAGTGGACATTTAGGAATAGTCCTGACTGTTGCCTATTCGTTCGGATACAGCAGATTTTATATATTAGATACAGTGAACACTGGTTTTTCATAGTTTCAGTTGAAGCGGTATTCCCATGCAACTCATCAGTTTCATAGGGTAAATATTTGGTGAACAACATGCTTAGAAAACGCTCACCCATGCTTCATTAACACGCGCCCGGGTGGCCGGCTAGGTATCCTTCGCTCGGGTCGGGGGGGGGGAGGGGGCAATTTGACCGCACTGAGATCTCGGGAACTAAGAAAGCTAAAAGCACCAAATTTGCAGGGCATCTTGACCTGTACGTGAACTCACTTAGGTCAAAGTTTGAGCTTCTTAGGTTATGACCTTCAGGTCAAGTAAGGCCAAACAAGATCAAATTCCAGGTTGGTCTCCAAAGCGCCCCCAGAGCCTAGGCAACTGTTTCTAAGCAAAAGGTCAGCAACTCATTTGAGGTCAGTGACCTTGTTTGACCTTTTGAAGGTCATGGTGACCAAAATCATACAAGACTGCTCTGAGTTTTGCATTTGAATTAGCGACAAAAATTACACTGGGCAGTATGCCCCTAAAACAAAATGTCGGCCCGGTTCATCTTAGGTCAATGACCTTTTCTGACCTCTAAGAAATCAATGGAAGGTGTATTATGCGGTTCCTGTTGTCAATAAATTCGAAATAATCACCACAAACTATCTCATACAGCAAGCCCTAGAGTGATAAATCAGGTTGGTTGTGACCTTGGTCTGACCTTCATACCTGATCTTAGGTCAACGAATTTTGCTCATTCAATATTTGTGGTGCCTAAAAAAACATTTCAGAGATGTATGGCTTCGTCAAACACTCCGTTACTGTATCAGATTGGATGATTCCCTAGAAATTGCTTTCGCTTAAACCATGGCCTGATTATGACCTGCCATAGGTCAGCAACCTTACAAGGTGCATATCAATTTGTGATGTCAAACGATCCGCTATTCAATTGTTTACAGCTATGTAAAATTTGGCGCGGCTACGCCGCGCTGTTCGGAAACCATTCTGGAAAAACCTTTGGGGGGGGAGGGTCAGTTTAACCCCCCACCCGAGCGCGTTACACAATCCCAACATCTTTTTTAAAAACGGTAAGAAAATCAAGAGCAGCTGCGAACTTCCCCGGTTACACCTGTGACAACTCGCGTTTACTTCAAACTTGGCTCAAGGGTATTCACAACAACACCGTTTTAAGCTAAACACTACAACAGTTAGCTCCATCCTACAAGGCGGTGGTGAGCCTCACCGGCGTCTCACTGCATGGGGTGCCAGCTAGTGCACCTGCTTTTGCACACGCTGCGTCATACGGCACGCGTCGCCATATGGCAGTGTGCGATTAAAACGCTACTGGTTTCCGTGTGAGGTGGCTGCTGCATCAGTGGCATATATCTTAGCGCCGCTACCGCAACCAGAAAATAGTCGGAACGAGCAGAAGGCTCTTCACTCAAAGCAATCCCCAGCGCGTGGTTTGGACAAACCTGGAAAAGCCTGGCTTATGCGGTGTCGCCCTCCCACTCTCCCCATATTTGGTTTAGCGCGGTAGGCATCTGGCTGAGAAGTAAGCTGGGCTCTTTTGTTTACCTTTTGAATTAATTGTTTTCTTTAGCAGAGTCGATGCAGGAATGAGGGTGCGGAAATCAAGATGTATTCGGTTTAAACATGCATTAGGCAATGTTTAACAATATTAATGCAGTTCCGTTGCAGACCAATTATCAATATCCAAAAATGGACTGAGATGGTTCTGTATGAAAATATAGCTCTATTAAATATTTCACATGAATATGATGCCAACTTGACGTTTATAAAGAGCATTGTTATGAACAGAAAAGCTTTCGTTTCACATCATCTTCAAGGATAAGGAGGCACATACATGATTGTGGTGAAGCTATTTGTGTTTTGCATATTGTCAGTTCAGTATGCATTTTAGCATACTCTTTTTGAAAAGTAGACTTCATTTATACTTCATATGTACTGTTGTCTATACTCTCTGCTTATATAATCAACTATGCTTTCTTACTGACAGTCACCTATACTCTTATAACGAGTTGCTTGCGAAAGGATCAAATCACTCAGGAACAAGTAATTATGCGGCACATAGTGCATCGACACATCCAGGTTAGGCTGATCCCATGCGCTCAACTTCGCGTCTAAATGGTAAGGCAGCGGTCAAATTATGTATGAGCAATGTATCGCTGCTCAAAACGGGGTGGTGCGTTGTTTTATGCATGTCAACGTTTATGACCCTGCTCTTGAAGCGATCAGTGCTAGTCTGGTTCAAAGTGGTTTACGAGCTTTGCGTTCTCCATTCGACCGAAATGCCTTTACAAACGCACTGCCAAGCAAGCCCATTGTCAAGCTTATACCATTTTCGACGCTACATTGCATCGCGTATTCTGTTGCAGAGTGATCTATGCATTCTATACACTGCGAATCAAACTATGTATTTGATTTTCTACACGTGGCACGCGAGCGTGCACGTGGACAGCGATGAAAGGCTAATGCCAAGGTTTTCGCACTAGCAATTTCTTGGAATAGCGTGGTAATTAAATGACAGCTGCGCAAAGCCACCCGTGCTTTTGCGCAGATATCAAGCCGCGTTGCGGTCGCTTTCCTGAAGCCTGGTGCTTCTAAGAACTAGGAGGGAGAGCGATTAGCAGCGACCGTGCTTAACACCGCGTAACCGATGCTATCGCAATAAATTCAATAAACACGCCTCGGGCGGGGCCGCCGTGGGACGAAATAGGCCAGACTAATGTTTAACGCCTTCTGGTGAAAGGATGTCTCGATGCTGAATTAGATCACAGAGTTATGACGCCGTCTGTGAAGGTTTACACAGTTTCTCTTGATTTACAGGCGGGAATGCGCAGCTTTTTTACCTGCTTTTTTCTTCTCACCACTGTCGCGCAATACATCAACCCATGTGGCTGTCAGCCAAAGTCACGACACTTTGCGCTGCCATGTCGGGCCACCGATAGAGGATATGCGAGGTCGAATTATTTAAATAAGACCGAGGGCTTGAGCCGCCAGTTGCTATACATAAGTCGGAATAGCATATTCCGTATCACTCGCTTCTGAGCATGGAATTGCACGTCCATAGGCTGTGCGATCTGGAATGGAAGAACATTTATTCCCGATGAAGTGTCCTGGAACGACCGGAATTGACCTTAAATGAAGTGACCTTGAACTTTTACCTTGTTTGACAATATGGTGTGGTTCTGATGCGGAAAACCACCCTCTTTCGTTTGATGCCAGTTATGCAGTACCACGGTCAGAGTTTCGAGCATAAGTGGGACCCGTGATTGTCAGAATATGTACATCGCTTCTGAGGTATCCTACGCGACGTGACGTCATTATTTGGCTCGCCGAGGCCAAGTCAATGTTTCCTGGAGGACCGGACGTAGAGCTTATTGTCTGAACTGTTCCGATCCAATCACCGCATTCTGAGTGATGTGTGAGGAAGGTATCGTAAGCCCCAGGCTGTTGCGATTGGGGAAATGTCCAGGCAATGCCAGGCCAAGGCTACGTATTTCCTTCATTCAGACGTTTAATGACATCAACACTGTTGATCACTTAATAATCGCTTTGCCCACCACCTGTCTGGTCGTTTTCCGTACCTACTTTTAAGAAACAACTGCTTTACTTCCCTTTGTATGGGTACTTACGGTCTATGCCGGGCTTCCAGTAATTTGAACCCCACTGAATGTCGCATATACCGCTCTAATTGTTCATGCAAATCCACACCAAATGTCTACAACTGCCTGTGCGCCCTCCCCTTCATTCATTTTGCACCTCATCGTTCGACTAACTGTGCTGCAACATGCAAACATGGTAGCATTCGCATTACGTGCCAGTGAATTTGCATCGTACTATGCGAAATGTGGTGTTTTATTGCCTTCGAGGTGGAGAAACTCTGCTGCAGCGTGACGCACTTTAAAGTTGTTTTCCAACTCCGATTATCGATCCAGCATCGTGCTGATAAATCATGATCAATTCCAAATCCATGCTCAATGTGAGCAACTCCCTGCGTGTCCAGTACTTAAGTATCATTCATTGAGGAAACGATACTACCAGGAATGACATACCCTCTCCCCAATCATTGTTCATCTAACAGTGCTGCAGCATGCAAACATTGCAAACTTCTTCGTGCAGTTTCTGACATCAAGATGGAACTCCAGCTGCTCGTTCTTTGGATCTTTTTTTTTTGCAGCGCATGAGGATGGCCACTGAGATGCGGCAAAACGAATATCCTGGACTGATATATATGAATATATGTGCAGCATTTGCGATTATGCATCACAGCTTTATGACCTGGTGCCGCAGGGCTCCCTGTTCGGTGCGCTGGGGTCAAGGATAGTCCAGCGGGTGGTTTGAATAAAGCTTGACAATGCAGGAGTGATGACGCCTTCTTTTATTCTATGGCTTTGGTCAGTCATCACTAGTTTAAAAAATCGAGTGATTGCCTTCGACGCCTGGCAGCCATTACATCAGTATTTGTTCTGCTGCGTTTGGACTGTTCCCATTCGGCTCCGACTCTTGAAATCGACGAGACCGACGAGCTGTTGCGTGACCTCTTGACATCTCCGCATCCCGCTGCCAGGCGCGTGTCCGCGGCGCTCATGTCCGCCGGTGCTGCCCGCAGGTGTCCGCTGCCGGATATCCCGGAGGGAGCCGAGTGCACCATGACCGACGCCACCGATGACGCGTTCCCGCTCTGCTGTCCGAAGGCGGTGTGCGGCAAGCTGTGAGCGCCGCCGGGCGCCGCCATCGCCGCCGCGTCACCACCGCCGCCGCGGCGAATCCGCTGCCGTGCCCCTCTCGCCCCGCGCCCCCTCGGGCCACGCCAGCCGACGTCCGTTCTTCGCACGCCAGAGTGCTGGCTGGTGGCGCCACCTGGTCCGGTGGCCCCATGCCTACCGGCGCTTAGCAAGGGCTTCGAAGTCAGCATGTTTTCTTTCTAGATTTTCTTGTCCTAAGGTGTGGTATGAGGTTATTGTTTGCGCTTAAGTTAAGTTGACTGACAGCGAATGGGCATTTCTCATAAGCATGCGTCACGTAAGTAGGCGCTCATTTCTGTCGCTCAAGGTTCGACCTCAAGCAAATGTGCTCATTAGTAGACGTGTGTAGAAGTTAAGGTGTCTGTGGTTATGGTTCGTTATACATTACGCTAGGCACAAGCAGTGCATCATCGGCGTGTTCATATCTTTAAAAATAACATTTTTCGCTATAGAGCTCCTTCTCCCTAGACATGAGAATAGCCAATTGGTTCTTACGTTGAGTCATTTTGATACTTTTCAGAAGGTATGACATATACAGCTGTAGGTGGGTACGGCTATAAGAGTAGCAATCGAGATGGTGAAGAATAGTATCAGCATTTTGTAGCTTTAAGCTGACGTGCCGTCCCACTAACTGCTGAAATATTTGCAGTGTTCGAAGCGTGAGTCCAGGCGAATACCCATTCATGTTTTGTCACAGGTTATTTTTCACGCACTCCAACCCTACTCATTCGAATGTGATGTCTCTTCTTCGGTTTTGGTCTTGAACGCCGTACTGAGCAAATGCACACAAATGGTCGACAAGAACACGGAAAAGTGGATGATAACGACTCTTTTGTTTGATTTGAAACATATATGACATGTTTACCAAATGGCAACATCTTGACGTGGATGCAAGCCCTACACTGAAAACAACGTCAATCCTTCTCGTATGAACCGATCTCGGATAATGTGTCGCTGATTTGCCATTCTGACCCCATGCGATTTCCCTCCGCCATCTGGCTGTGCTCTACCTGCCTGTGCTCCGCCTGCCTGTGCTCTGCCATCTGTGTGTGTTCACCCAGGGCCCCATAAACAAGCTGTTGCAACTAAGCCATTTATAGACACATGTAATGGCTGAGGTCACATGCGCCGGCGTCGGCGGCGGACGCCGGGAATTCCACCGGAGAGTTAAAAGCGAAGCGGAGCGAAACGCCCTGCTTCGTGCACCTGACTGTCACGAGAGAACATTTTTCCAGCCGCCATCGATCTGTCCCGACCTGCTCGGCTTGGAGAGGGCAGCACACCTTGCTCCACTTCCTGGGCACGAAAAGGGTCCCAAGAGATAGAATGAACGTTTGCAGTGCGTTACCGTGTCGCTTTCTTGACACTTTGCAGCTCTTGAGCGCCACTGGCATCGTCGTTCCTTATTTAGCGCGCTTCGATTACGATGGAAAATAAATGACGTTGGCCGTCACGAATGCCTGGACGTCCGTCAGACCCGGGGCGCTCCGTTCGAAGCTCTTCGAGGGTGCCGTTGCTCGCGTGGCTGTGTTGGTCCCGCGATCAAGAGAGAGATCGGTGATCACAGGATGTGACACATGGGAGGATAGGAGGTCACACGCAGCGGGGTATGGCAAACCCTCATCCGCGCCCTTCCCTCCCTGCGTGCTGTGTCTGTCAGGTCCGCCTCAACCTCACATGTTCCGCGTAAAAATGCTGCAGGTAAGAAAAATGGCACGAATGCTGCTCATCTGCAATGCTCTTCATGCTTTCTTCAGCGAAGTGAGATCAGCACTAATTACTTGGTTATTGGAATTGCTCTTGCGTCGTCAGAACTCTTCATGTGACCGTTATGGAATGGCGCTTATAGTCAAGGCCTCCAGCAGCTAAATAAACATTGAAATGAGTCACTTTCCTTCGTACTATTTCTGAGTGTATTAGACAGCACGCGGCGGGGGTGATGCAAGGAACCGGCGGCGGACCAGCCCTGTCCAGCGGAACTGGGGCGACCGGCCGTCCGCTGCTGGAACAGAAGTGGACCGCTCGGTGGAGCCGACCGACCCTGCCCGCCACGCCCGACACCGGACACGCTCAGGGGTCGAGCGGCGAGCTCCGACCCGCCTCATCCAGCGCTGTCCATGCGAAGGAATGCGCGGGGGTCGGCCGCCGCCGCCGCCGCCGCCGCCGCCGCCGCTGAATAGAAAGAATGCCGGCCGCGCGCGGTGGCGTTCGGCGCCGCTTTTGGCCACCGGCGCGGCGGCCGCCGCTCCAGCGCAGACGTCACCGGGCATCAGCGGCCGACCGCCGGCGACGCGCCGCCGCCGCAAGGGCGTCCGCCGCCTGCCGGCCCGCCGGCCGATGAGCCTTAGCGCCGGCTGACCGCCGGCCGGCCGCAGATGGCTACCTGGCGCCGCCGACGGCCCGCAAACGGGTGCCGGCCCGCGGCGGCCGACCCCGGCGTGTCACCGGTGCCGCTTTTTGTCGGCGTTTTTGTTTGTGACGGCCGTCTTGCGGTGAGTCGGCGTCGTTTACGAGGAATGCGCATTATTTCGGGCGCCGCCGCCACGGGCCCACGACGGGAAACATGAAACATCGCGCCGCTGTTTTTACGTGCGCGTAATTGGAAAGCAAATCGGGGATCTTTTAACCATCCGCAGTGAGGCATTCGGTTAGTGCTATCCTCGAAGAAAAATGCGAAAAAATCCATGCGGTGGTCAGAATGACATGTCGGATAATGTGGTCGACATGTACGACATTAACGGCACATGCAGAGCAATTCATATTGCTATCGGTGGGAGAACATTTCGCACCACGCGCGCATGGAGCGCAACTGAAAAGTCCATTTCCATATGGCAAGCTCTTACAGCAGGCGTTTTTGACAGAACGTCTTGAAGTGGTCGGGACCTCCCACGGGGCGGGCGGCTCGTTTGATATTTGCGGGCAAAGACTTGTGGTTTGTTTTACGGCCCGCAGAGAGTAGTGAGCCGGTCATTTAACGGGCATGATCAGGTCATATGTAAATACGTGTGCGGCGTGCCTTCCAGAAAGCAGTGATTGCTAATTGATTGATAGGCTTCGATCTGCACGGTTCATAAAATTCCCTGTAACGTATTGCCTAACTGAATGGCCGTTTGCCAGGACATTTTTTACGTTAACTAAAAGGGAGTGTTTCACATTTGCATGGGGTTTTGAGGTGAAATAGCCACTTTGAAGGTCATTCGGTTCAGTTTACAACCATGCCCTTCTTTAGACCTGGAACTCTTTGGTTTCTGAGCAGCACGCCTGCGAACATGTGCGGGCTACATCGAGCAGACTTCTTCAAGGCCATTCGGACATGCATGCCGCCATAGCAACGCCACTTTAATCCTGCCCTCCCATAAGTCATGCGGCGTTCAAGACCATGATAAAATATACCGTCGATTCGTTCAGATCTGGCGTCCGTGAGCTCGATTTTCATGTACTGTGAACGTCAATTTGCTATTCGAACAATTATTGCCAATGGTTCGAACGCTATTGCTCAGTCAGTGTTGAGCAAGTTATGCACGTTAAAATTACGAATGATATTTTCTACTGTATTGCATAGGAAGTTGGACGTAATTGTTGGTTATTACGGAAATAAGACTTGCAATCGAAAACCTTGAAGAGTACCACGACTAAGCACGTAAACGCAAATAAACTGCTCAAACTCACCGAAAAAGTACGCAAGAACGCCACGAGAAAGGGCCAAAACACGAATTTATAACAACATCTGTCTTACCGAACACTTCCAGCACCACACCGCCATATCTCGGCAAGTTTAAAGTACTGCAAGTGTGTACAAAGATGGCAGTCTCGCACGGCTAGTTTGGCAGTACCTCACCATCATACAAACGTCCCATGACGAAATTAAGCAATAACGCATTAAGGAGCATTGTTACTAAATTGTGAAGAACTTTGCAATGAAAATAAATTGTGTTGTCTTGAACAGTCTTTTCCACTTAAAAGTATACCAATAGCTATAAGTGAGCTTATTTCATAATATCTGATACTTGCTTCAATATCTTTTAATGTAGAGCATCCTCTTTAAGAAAACCAGTGACTTACTGCTACGGCAAGGGGTTCGAATGCTATCTTAATGATAGTTTTGGTATTACGCTTGACGCGGTGAGATGAGACCTTCTCCACTGGTCAAGGAATGGCTGGGTAAGTAATATGTACATATTATTATTGTTTTACAATCTAGGCAAAATCATGCATTAGTGGGACGCCATTTACGTCAGGGGAAAAGTGAGGGGAACGCTGTGGCGTTTCTTCGTGGAAATAATATCATAACAAAGGTGAGCGAAACCCTCCCGTTTTTAATGATGGAACAACTGGTAACAGTAGAATGACAGAAAAAATAATACAATACACAGAACTTAAGAGCTGTTGCAAGTTGTTTGTAAATGCTTGGCCGTCGTCTATCTTATTTCTCTAAATATGCGTGGCGAGCGTCTCCTGGTAAAGGCAAAAACATGCTTTCTCTCACAAGCGCTCTTCACGCCACAGGCACAGGACGGCAGAGAATTCATGTGGTAGATTATCACAAGGTTCGAACTCTTCTATTCACACCTTTTACCGCATCCCATGCAGCCACTTGCTTGCATGTGCTTGGTTAAAAACCGGTACACGCAGACAGACGTGAGCGCTTTAAGATGCGACAAGAAGTTCCCTCTTGCTGGGCGGCGGGAAGAGTCGACGCTGTTGGCTCCCGTAGCTGCGTCGTCAACAACGTAACGCTGACGCATGCCTCAACGAGTTGAAATGGATCTCAGTTGGTTTTCCTTACAGGCAGAAAGGTTCCAAACTCCTACGAATTGGGCCCGGAACCGTCAAGTATGCACTATAAACCGCATGGCCCAGGAGACCAATGGCCCGTGTGGTCCCCGTTGACTGTATCCCACTCGGACATGTGCGTGCAATGCTGTTCCACGCAATCGAAATGTCAAATATTGATAAGATTCATTTGTGGCTTCTGCTTGCTTCGCTGTGCGGTAGGCGCCGCCGCTAAGACCGTAACGTTGACTTGTGTCCCAAAAATCGGGCAAAAATGAGACTGAGCCCGTGACGCGTGCGGGCTTTGTGACAATCCGTGCAGCCGTCTGCGCTGCGCACAGTGGCTAAAAAGGTAAAAATACAGACAGACAGACGGATGCGTGGTCTTGTTTCGTTGTTTAAATCTTAGTCAGTACAGGTATCGAAATATGCCCCTTCCTTGAGTTCGGCAGGTATAGGTATGCTGGTGGTTTGCGCATGCGTAAATATTCAGAAATAGAGAATGGTGGAGAGATGAAGCTTTCCTGGGCGGCAGAGTCATCAAAGATATCAGAATATGTTTTTTAAAAAAAAAACAGAAAAAAGGCTCTATCTGCCGGCCTGACGGCAAAAACCCAGCCCCTCAACACCATACAGAACAACTTGCAAAACGTATATTCCCAAAGTGCGGAAGACATCGAAAAAGATGAAATTGCAGGCTAATTTCAGAAAGGAACCACCAAACACAACCTAAATACAGCGCTCTCTTTCTGAAGTCCTCACCCTTATGCCCTACAATAACGACTACCTGTTTTTTTAGGTATATTATGTCATCCGAGATTCGCATTGGTGAGCTTTCTTTGTTAACTTTATAAGGTCGTTGTTCTGGTACTGACTGCTCATTTTTTCTCTTTCGTGGTCAAGATGGTCCATGACCGAACAATCAAATGTAAATTTTTTTCAAATACTAAGAATATCTTTGGCAAACAATGTCGCTTTAAAACTGGCCGGTTATTCCGATCAATTGAATCCACTTCTTTGGGGTGATTTATAGCTTTGGCAGTTGTCACCAAGTATGCTTTTCTTCTTTCAACTACATAAATATTCTATGTGGGCATTGGTAACCATGAGCGGAACGATTTGTCTCTGGAGTTCTCATGGCCTGATGTCTACCAGTTTAGGACGCGGCGTAAACCGTGTTTCATAATATGATGTGGACTTTTATGTAATTTTCTCCATAATGCATAGTATGCTCAGTGATATGAAACACGACATAATGTGGACATTCCATAAAAATTGTCAGGCATAACCGTGTTTTCTCTCCCTTTCTTTTCTCTCAGCGTCTTGCAGTTGAAATGTTGCATTTACGGATCACATTGTTGAGATGTGTAAATCGACTGCAGCTGACACATTTTCCTATACCACACGTTGGTTTCACTGCTTCATCTATTCTGGTCGCTGCGCTCCGACGTCAAACGCATGATCGCCTCCAAAGACGATCATGCTGGTGTAAGTTCTGCTAACACACTTCTGCTAGCACGATTGTCCTTTTCCCATTTTTAGCGTAATGTCACTGCGACACTCGGTCATGGATATCTCCAGCTGTTTCCGACGTGTGTCCGTAGCCGCCCTCCACCATTTGAAAACTTATACGCTTCCTATGTGCCTTTTGGGGGAAGACAAACTGGCGATGATACTGAAGCGGTTCAGATAAACACCCTATAAAGAAATTGCACTTAAATGCCTTGAAAAAGTGCAGCACAACTTTGAAAGAATCGCGAGACCAGAAAGGCTACCAGTTGCTGAGCTCCGCGGTAGTTCAGGCCAGTGGTTGGGCAGGCACGGCCATTGGTTGGTCAGGCATGGTCAGTGGTTGGGCAAGCACGGCCAGTGGTTGGGCAAGCACGGCCAGTGGTTGGTCAGGCACGGTCAGTGGTTGGGCAAGCACGGCCAGTGGCTGGTCAGGCACGGTCAGTGGTTGGGCAAGCACGGCCAGTGGTTGGTCAGGCACGGTCAGTGGTTGGGCAAGCACGGCCAGTGGTTGGTCATGCACGGTCAGTGGTTGGGCAGGCACGGTCAGTGGTTGGTCAGGCATGGCCAGTGGTTGCGAGGACATCAGCCTGTTACAGGTGTGACTGCTCTGGCAGGGCCGGACCGAGTTGCCGGAGTCACAACATTTCCAGTCAGCTGTTACAGCTCGCTCAGCCTGCGGCTTCTTATGATTCTACTTATGTTGGAATGTACAGAGCTATGGATTGGTCTGCACGTTCCGTTGCTGGAGATGTATTCGATAAAGGCTTTGCCATGAGACGAAAGGTATTCCATTTCTCGTCTAACAATGCAAAACATGCTCAAACAGCATGGGCTTTGAACCTTGCAAGTAAGCCTGGGATCAGACCCAAAACATTGACATCACATGAAGACATTCACATGGCATCTCTCGGGAATGACCATCAACAGTTCAGCGCCTACCATGGCACCGTGGTGTGGGCTCTTGACCTCGATACACTAGCAGCGGCCATACAAAAGAAAGTGCCTAACATGACTGTAGCACAAATATAGATAGTGTCATGGGCTGGACTGTCCACTCACGCACAGTACGCTGTATGCAAGCTTACTGTGACTGTATCTATCGGATAGCAGCACAGCTTGCTTGTCTGGTGATCAACCTTGCGACAGAAACCAGCATCCATGCTTATTTTTGGACAGTGACACAGGAATATCTTGGAATAAATAGAACACATATGGGATTCGGCCCGTCTTGCTAAGTCAATGCATGGCTTGACTGTCCAATCTTTTGACGAATGTGATCGATCCATGCATATTATGAAATAATCCGTGGATTACGTAGCTTGGATTATATAATGTTCAGAAGACACCGGTTCCGATTGGCCCGAATTTCATTACTGACTTCAGCAAACGGGTGCAATCAGATTAAAAAACTGGCTTTATTTAAAACGTGAATGATCTTTTATGTGTCGCATCTGTCAAATTTAGCTTCGTTATGACGAATTTCTAATCATTGTTTAGAAAAAACTTCACTCGTCGGATCGGATTAGAACGGACTTGGCTTGGCTTAGATTGACTTGGACTGAATCCGATTATATTATCACATAAACAGAGAGACCTTCTTCTCCCAACTCGATAAAGGTTGGGAACGTCACAATGAGCCATTGGACATTTTGAAAATGATACGCGTACACTCAGAAGGAAAAGGTGCCCTGAATTTCGGCAAGATCGGGAACACAGACACCTTGGCAAGACATGCGCGGGATAACAGCTACTCTAGGCACCTGCGGGGCGCATGGGAGTGGTCCCGCTGCCAGTTAGCCATATGACTGTGATGCCATTTTTCCCCCGGAAGTATTGCTGGGAAAAGGAAATGTTCCTTGCATAGTTCTTATCCGGTCTCATGAACTTGTAGTAGTCTCAAGCAAGGGCCTCAACCTCCTCGATGGTCGTAATGCAAACCGTCCATCTGAGAGATGGATAATGACGGCAAATGTCGGCAGATCAGATGTCAGAATAGGCGTCTTCCAATGGAAAATTACAAAAAACTAACTATTTTTGTGAAAATTAGTGACGCCGCTCTCGAACCTGCCATATCGCATTCTCACACCTTGACCGACGCCGTCCAGACACCCATTCAGGTCACGTATTCCGAAGAGTGTCTCTCGAACACGCAAGTTTCGAAATCTATGTTTAATAGATTTCGATCTTGACGCAATGTTTATGAAACAAAGTGGCATCGACAGTCAGCTAAGTTTATTTACAATCGCCAGTTGACGCATCGTTTATGGCCCAGTTCGCCCAGGCAGTTATATAGAGATATCCAACCGTCACAGGCAAACAAATACCCAGTACGTATTAGCATGACGTTTTTGGCACCGTCAGAAGCAAACGCAGCTAAATATTTATGTGGGAAACCAAACAGAAAGCGCAGCCTTGCCAGCACTGTGGCCTGATATCAGAACATCATCACTGATAATCACTTATTAAAATAAGTCACACTAACAATAACCGGCAGTCCCACAGACGCACAACAGCCTACGCGTGGCATTCTCAAACGACAAACGTTAAGCGGAGCCGACAGCAGGGCTGACACAGCCGTGTCGCCGGCGCCAGCTCTCCTCCGCCGCCCGTCCACGACGGCACGGCGGAGGCATTCGGCCCTCGAGCAATATCAACCGGAGATCATCCCCCTCGAGCCGGGACCAGCTGGCAGCTGGAGGGCCAGCGTCCCGGGGTCCCACCCGCCCGAGCGTCTCCACCAGCGGCCCTCCGGCCTGACGCAGCGCGCCGCCCGGCGACGGCGGTGCCCGAGCAGCAGTCATCGGCCCGGGCTCCCGGCCCGGCCGGCGGTCACTCGTCCCGCACCCACTCAGATCATCACAGACACACGCCGCGAGCATCCACAGCCACGCGCGCCCCGCGGGCTCGCCGGTCGCCGCTCGGCGCCGGTCGCGGAGCCCGGAGCGCCGGCCAGTCCCGACCAGGGACGAGGCGGGCGCCGATGCCCGTACCCCGCCCTAAACACCACCAGCACAGCAGCAAGAGATGTCGTGCCCGCCCGGGGCAGTCAGGTATCACTGGAGCGGCCTGGCGTCAGGCGGCACCACTACAACTGGCGCCCACCCGCGCGCAGGTATCACCGAATGGGCGCGGTCCTCGCCGACGAAGCGGCACCGCCGCACGTCGCCGCTGCGCTCATCGCTTCATGATGTCCTCTATGCTGAAGCCGGTGGGCCGGTTGGTGGGCGCCGGCCGCGCCGGTCGCATCGGCGGCACGCTGACGTGGGCGCCGTCCCGGATGACGGCGTCGCGCGAGGGTCGCGCGCGCGCCGCGGCGCCTATCACAGCGCCCAGCGGCGGGTGCTCGTCGCCGGACGAGCCCACCACGTCCACGTCACTGCACTCGTCCTCGGCCGGCGCCTCGTCGTCGTCGTCGTCGTCGGGCGCGGGCGAGGCGGGCCGGCGGCTGGGGCCGGCGGCCGGCGCGGCCATCGTGCTCGGCCCGGCCGGCGCCTCCTCGGCCAGCCCGGCGTCGCCCAGCGAGTGGGTCAGAGAGTGGCGGCGAAGGTCACAGTTGCGCCTGGAACGGGAGCGGCGAGGTCAGCAGTGGCCGGCGCCCCCCGCGCGGCCAATTACACCGGCGGATGGAGCGACGGTCAGCGGTGCGACCGCGGGCGCCTAGCGTCGGCCGCCGCCCTCACCAGAAAATAGGCCGACCCCGAACGCGTGCTCAGCGTCTCGCCCTGGCATTGCTCGGCTCGGCCAACACCCAGCTCTCCACGTAACTTTGCACCTGCCGGGTGGGGAGCGGGGGAGGAATGCCGCGCCGAGGGCGGCGGCCGGCCCCTCCCCGGTGACCGGCATAGCTCACCGGCGGCCCTGATGGGCCGGTATGCGCGGGGCGTGTCGGACTGAGCAGGCCCGGCGCTGCTGCAGAACACGGATCCGCCCGCGGCAGCGGCAGCGGCACCGGCCGGGCGGAGGCCACGCCACAGGGCCGGACACACGGGCTGGGAGGCCGCACAGACGGCAGGCTGAGACGGGCTGGGAGGCCGCACAGATGGCAGGCAAAGATGGTCTGGGAGGCCACATAGATCGTAGGCAGGGACGGGCTGGGAGGCCACACAGACGGCAGGCAGAGACGGGCTGGGAGGCCACACAGACGGCAGCGAGAGACGTGCTGGGAGGCCACACAGACGACAGGCATAGATGGTCTGGGAGGCCATACAGATAGCAAGCAGAGACAGGCTGGAAGGCGACACAAACGGCAGGCAGAGACGAGCTGGGGGGCCGCACAGATGGCAGGCAGAGACGGGCTGGGAGGCCACACAGACGGCAGCGAGAGACGGGCTGGGAGGCCACACAAACGGCAGCGAGAGACGGGCTGGAATTCCACACAGACGGCAGGCAGAGACGGGCTGGGAGGCCACACAGACGGCAGCGCGAGATGGGCTGGGATTCCACAGAGACGGCAGGCAGAGACGGGCTGGGAGGCGACACAAACGGCAGAGGTGCGGAAAAGTTCAGCTACTAGAGTGTCAAAGAGACCGATATTGTTTCATACTATTGCACACGTGCCTTGGGGTGCACCGTCTGTTGCTCCTCCCTTCGCTCACGATCGACCAATCAGCTTCGGGCCGGATGGTGGGCAACCCAGCATCTATGCGCCTCGGGCAAGGCAAATCGGGCGGGCAGGTCAGGATGTGAGGGTTCGGGGTCAATGCTCAACGGACTAGCAGCAAATGGAGCATGGTGGAGACGGATGTGACCGAGGAAACAGATATCTGAATTCCCATTGACCTCGCTGGCACCCAACTGGGCGAAATTTGTCACAATGTACGACGAGGAGACGGGCCTTGAGGTCCCGCTATAGGGCATGACAAGGGTTTGGGGTCCCACAGACAGCGGAGAGACGACAGGCTGGCAGACAAGCAAACGGCAGACCGACAAACCGCAGGCTACACGGAAGGCAGGAGAGACAAAGCCGCCGCGCAGACAGCAGGGAGACAGTCGGAGAAGTCAGCAGAGCTGCTGTGGATAGCCGAGCCGCTACACGGACAACTGAGGCAGGCCGGGAGACCACACCGGCAGCCAATCAAAACCGCCACGATGCACGGCTACCGCGACGGACCGGCGTGCTGTGCAAACGACAGAGGCAGCCGGAGCCCCACGCGAGAAACCCAAACTTGTCGCGCGCCACGGGCGGCGGCCGAGAGCGTGTCGAGCGATGAGCAACGCCCAACGGTGCCAGGTCGCTCGTCGCCCGAGATCCCCGGTGGCGGCGCTGGTGTTAATTGCTCGCCGCTCACGTGGCGTGCGCAGCGATCGCTGATCAAGCTCACGACATCGAATGCACCGTTAATTGGTCAATTAAACCATATTTTTACACTTTTATTACGGTTTACTGCACCGGCTCCCGGCGTCTCGACGGCATTAGGAAACCAAAAGTGGGAGAGATTTTTATCCTCGCGTATAACGGGCGGGCAAATTTCAAGGCCTGCTGTCTAGACAAAGGCCTCCCAATCATCATCGGACATGTGCACTCACCTGAAAACTTTGCCGCAAACCTGGCACTCGTACGGCTTTAGGTCCGTGTGAGTCAGCAGATGGGTCTTCAGGTTGGATCGCTGGTTGAAGGACTTGCCGCACGTAGGGCACTTGTGGGGCGACTCCTCCAAGTGTAGGATCTTGTGCACAGCGAGAGTTCTCGACTGACAGAAGCCCTTGCCGCACTCTGAACATCGGAAGGGTTTCTCCTTGCTGTGGATGTACCTGGAGAAAAGAACAACTCAGCGTTAGAAACATGGCTTGCAAATGACAAATGTCAAATGTCTTGCAACTTAAGGTACATTCATACGCACCCACAATGGCTCACACGCTCCCAAACGTGGGTGGATTGCCAGTCTGACAAATAGGCAGTAAGACTCATATCCGTTGCACTTCCACGTGCAACACGAAGGCTGATTGCTTAATTTACGTGATGGCGCCTGACTTTCTCAGGGCATGAAGACATATGACGGCAACGAACAGCAAGTTTAATAACATATCTGTCAGATGATGTCGTGCTCAAAATAAACGGCGCTTGCTACATCGGTGGCTCGGGGTATTTGTGCACCGAACCAAGTCATACAGAATATATGTGTGGAAAATGTAATTGCATCATGCACAAGTACCCTGTCATGCGGTTGTGCACACCTGTAACGAGTGCGCAAACCTCAGAATCTATTATTACGGTAATTAATTTTTGCACTGGGAGAACTGGCTGTGCAACATGAATGAAGCGCTTAAAAATGTGTCCTAAGTCGACCAGGATTACGCGCTGCAAAGTCACACGGTGAAGCCACCAAATTCACCATGATCTGCCACCGCCAACTTACACAAAACTTTTCACAGTTTTTCAAAGCGTGAACATAAGAACCTTTCACTGCAGTCGTCAAGTGAGCCACAAAGTTCCATTTCCACGATTTTTGCTGCCCCGCGCCACGATTTCACCGGGCCGGGGGCAGCGATGACGTCAGCCGTCGGCTGTCGCCGGGCGCCGGAAATTTATGGCTCCGATCGGCTGGACACAATCCGCCGGGCGCGAGCGGAGCCGGTCCCGCCTCTGCGGGGGACTGGTAAGCATCCGTGGTCCGCCGGGCAGAGGCGGAGCCGGTCCTGCCTCTGCGGGGGACTGGTAAGCATCCGTGGTCCGCCGGGCAGAGGTGGAGCCAGTCCTGTCCCTGCGGGGGACGTTTAAGCGTCCGAGGTCCGCCGGACGGGGCGAGCCATCCTGCCTCTGCGGGGACTGGTAGCGTCCGTGGTCCGCCGGAGCCGAGCTGGAGCCGTCCTGCCCTGCGGGGGACTGTTAGCGTCTGTGGTCCGCCGACGGAGGCGGAGCCGTCCTGCCTCTGCGGGGGACTGTTAGCGTCGTGGTCCGCCGGACGAGCGGACCGTCGCCTTCGGGGACTGGAGTGTGGCCCCGGACGGAGCGTACCGTCCTGCCTCTGCGGGGGACTGTTAGCGTCTGTGGTCCGCCGACGGAGGCGGAGCCGGTCCTGTCTGGGGGGCTGTTCAGATCCGAGGTCCCGGACGGGCGGAGGCGGAGGGACTTAGCGGGGGGGGGGGCTGTTCCGGTCCTGCCTCTGCGGGGGACTGTTAGCGTCTGTGGTCCGCCGGACGGAGGCGGAGCCGGTCCTGCCTCTGCGGGGGACTGTTAGCGTCTGTGGTCCGCCGGACGGAGGCGGAGCCGGTCCTGCCTCTGCGGGGGACTGGTAAGCATCCGTGGTCCGCCGGGCAGAGGTGGAGCCAGTCCTGTCCCTGCGGGGGACTGTTAAGCGTCCGAGGTCCGCCGGACGGAGGCGGAGCCGGTCCTGCCTCTGCGGGGGACTGTTAGCGTCTGTGGTCCGCCGGACGGAGGCGGAGCCGGTCCTGCCTCTGCGGGGGACTGTTAGCGTCTGTGGTCCGCCGGACGGAGGCGGAGCCGGTCCTGTGTGCCCTGTTTCTGTGTTGAGTGTCCCGAGGTCCGTGGGAAGGGGCGGAACCCATCCTGCCTCTGCGGGCGCTGTTCGGGATCCGAGGGCGCCGTGGCAGGGACGGTGCTGTCGTGAGGTCAGCAGAAACAGCCTGAGCCACCACGACGATCGTTTCAGGGTACGAGTGCCACGTGATGCATTTGTGTTAAAGACACGAGACTCCTGGCATTATCTCATTCAAGCGCAGTAGTTGCTGCCTACGCCGAACGTGACAAGGCTGACAACGTGGCAATTCAAAATGAGGGCAAAAAATAGCCTATAAAGCAGGCTTTCGAGCAACAAGCAGGCTTGTTTTCACCCAGGCCATGCCTTCATACCTGATCCTAGGCCGATGGAATTCTCTTTTAAATTCAAAATTCAAATGCTTTGTTACCTAAGGAGCCTCTTTAGAGGATGTTTGTCTTCCTCTAACACTCTATTATCACATCACATCGAACGACACCCTAAAAATGACCTTCGTTGAGATCGAGGATCTGACTTTGACCTGCCTAGGTCCGCGACCTTGCAAGGCAAATCCATTTTTGACACCAAACGATCCGCTATCTAATTCCCTCCAGGTAAGTTTGGCGCAGCTACGCCACGCCGTTTTTAAAATGTTTTTCGAAAAATTGGGGTGTAGGGTACAACTGCCACCCGAGTGCCTGTCAATAAATACCGCAGGGCACACTTCACTTCAGTCTCAAATTTGAATAAGATATATTAAGCCACAACGTTAGCAATATTTCGGCTGACATGCCCTCTTCAGTTTAGTTAAGATTTGGAAATTTATCATAAGGTCAAATACATTTCAAAACTGAAGCACACCTGAAGAGGGTATGCCTGCCGAAACACGCAGTTTTTCGAGTTATTGTATTTCATTGAAGTTTGAAACCACAGTAAACAGTGCAGGTGACATTCCGTCAGCCAATATGGTCTCTCTCATCAGACCTGTCACAAGTCTGCACCACTGGTCACCATTAGGCCCGGCCGTCAGCAGCCATGGAGCCGACCGGTCAACAGCGTCCATCAGCAATGCGTCACGCTGCTGCGCCCTCGCACCCTGCCGTCAACGGCTGACGGCATGTGACGTCACCCGGGGCCACCCGGCGCGGCGCTCGGCGGTGCGGTCCAAGTGTGATGCACCTCCGCCGCCGCGAGCACCGGTGCCAGCGGCTGCAGCGCCGGCGGCGCGGCGATGGTGATGGTTGACAGCCGGACGCCCGCGGCTTCGGACTGCAGCGTGCGGTCGCGCGCACCCGCGCGGGTGCCCCCAAACATCCTTGAGCGACCTTCGCAGTTCAACCGGTCACGAGAGCCCGCACGCTACGAGTCCCACGGCTGAACATTCCGCGCCTTCGGACGCGGCTTGACAGCTCTGACCGCTGAGATTTCACGCGTCACGCTCCCATCCAGCCGTCAGACCGGACGGGTCTCAAGGCACGCGAGCATGATTGCTCCTTTTTGTGGTTCGAGTCTCAAGATCAGATCTGAATGCTCGCTGCGATCCACCTCCCAAGACCGGCGGCCGCGGTCGCTCCCCCGCATCTGGATTCTCAGGACCAGACCTAAGCGCTCCCTGTCTCGATCCTTTACCTCCCGAACTGAGCGCTCCCCTCTCGGCACACTCTAAGTCTTCGGTCGCGGCCCGCCAGCGCCGCAGACGGCGCCGGCCGCCGTGTCCCCCGCGGCCAGCCGCCGCCGCGCGATATGGCGTCGTCTGCAGCGCGGCGGCGGCTTCTTGGTGCCGTCAATCAGCCGGGCCGGGTGTGCGGCTCAAACGGGCCGCGGGTCGGCACGACACGATACCAACATGGCCGCGCGCCGGTCCGGCCGGCCGGCCGACCAGCCCAGCTCGTCGGGGCCCGTCCGTCCGGCGACCTGCGCGCAACGCAGCGCGGCGTGGCCGCCGCGGTCGGAGAAACCACGGCAGTGCAGCCGGGCGCCGCATGACATGGGAAAGTGACCAGCCGGCTGGGCAGGGTGCGGCCGACATCTGGCCTTTGACGGCGTGCAGCGTGCGCCGGCGGCACCGCCGGCCGAGACGGCGTCTGGGCGCGGACCGGGCCGTCCGCCCGCGTCACCCGAATAACGGTGCCCGCCGCGACGCTGGCCGCGCTTTAAGCGGATCGATAAGCCCCACGCTAATGGGCCTCTATGCTGCAAGGCCAAAGCTGCGGCGGTTGTGATTCGAGCGCATGGGCGGTGACGTCAGCCGGGAACGCCGCGTGCGTGACTGTGCACAGCCGCCAGAGCAGCTTGCGTCAGATGTCCGTTCATCGCCTCCGGGCGTCCAGCGCCGGTCCGGCCGGCCGGCCTCACGCGGCGACCGTGCAGCCGGTGGCCGCCGCCGCCATGAATTATTCGGCGGCCGGTGCCCATTAATTCCGGGCGGGCGGCCGGACGCCGCGCCATGTTCGTCACAGTGGCGCGCCGCTGCCGGCGCCGCGGCTCCCGTGGCGCGCCGCTGCCGGGGGCGCCTCGAGGCGCCGGTCGGGCTTGCCGGATCCCCTGCACGCTAACCTGGCGCACCGCAGTGCGACCTCACAGCCGCCGGCTGATGCGAGCAGGGGATCCGCGGTGGTCCCGGCAGACCGCTGTGGTCCGCTGTGGTCCGCTGTGGTCCGCCGTGGCACAAACCGGGCGTGGACCGGACAGACCACGGCAACCGGCTAGGGTCGGCATGCGGTGTACAGAGGCGCACAGGTCGCGTCTGACGCTCCTCTGACCTGCTATGAACACGAGGGGTTCGCCTGAGGGAGACCATCTGGGGGGAATCCGTCTGAAGGGAGTCCACCTGGGGGAGTCCGCCTGGGGGAGTCCTCCTGAGGTGAGTCCGCCCGAAGGGAGTACGTCTGAAGGGAGTACGTCTGAAGGGAGGCCGCCTGGGAGCAGTCTGCCTGGGAGAGTAGGCCTGGGGAAGTTCGCATGAGAATAGTCCGCTTGGAGGAAGTACACCAGGGAGGGGAGTCCTCCTACCAGCCCCCGACAAAGGAAGTGGCGACCGCATTGAAGGGAGCATGCAGATCGAGCATTGCCTGATGGCCACCATTTTGCCAGTCTGTGGCGACCGCATTGAAGGGAGCATGCAGGTCAAGCATTGTCTGGTGGCCACCATTTTGCCAGTCTGCCGCCGCCTCAGTCACCACTCTGTCAGCCCAGCGAAGCTGCAATCAGCATTCCATCGACCTGTTGCGGCTGACGTTGTAGACCGTGACCGCCACTTCGGCGGTCAGTCGCGACCGCCGTCCAATGGCCCGCGCTGCTCTGGCGGCGGCGGACCACTCTACGGACTGGCCGCACCTGCGGGCAGCCGGATTACATATTGCACTCTGCCGGCCGGCTGCAGCGGCGGGGGACAGATAGCGGCCAGCCTGGCCGCCGCGATGCCGTGCGCTTGCAGCGTGCAGTGCCCGGGAGCTGACGGCGGTCGGGTTGCTGAATATGCATGCCCGCCGCCGCCGTCCGCCGCCGGTCTGCAGCGGCCGGCCGCCCACCGGCGGCCGTGCAGGACACGCGGCACGGGCGCGGAGGCGACACCATCATGCCACCGCGCCGGCTCCGATTACGCCGGCGCGCCGCAACTGACGCGGCCCTGCCACCGGGCGGCGGCGGCGGCGGCGGCGTCCCACGAGCGGGCGCGGCGGAGGCCGCCGGCTGGTGCCCCGTGCCGGAGCGCGCCGGCAAGGGGAGCGGGACTGCGCCACCTGGGACTCGTGCCGAGCCACCGCGCCGTCGCAGCTGTGCACGACGTTGCAGCATATCTCGCTGATGATTCGTCGTGAGCGGCCCCGCCCTCGTCGCGGTGTCACGCTGCCAAGCGACGCGCCCGTTCGGGGGTCAGCGGGATCGAAACGCTGAGGGTGACTTCACGGCGGCGGCGTCTCGATGGGAGCGTTGTAGTCACCGCTGAGCGATGGGAGTGAGCCTTCCATCTCCCGGCCCGCATACGCTGGCTTGTTGAAAACCCCGTCCCATGGCCGGCGGGACACGCCGAAGTCGCAGCCTCATGAACAGGGTGGGTCAGTAGCGTGAGTGGTAGAAGTGTGAGACTCGGGACTGCAGTCCGAGTCTCACAGCGGAGGTCGGTCCAGCGTCTCCGCTACAGATCGGCCCGTGTAGTTTCAGTACCACGACAGGCCAGACCAGTTTGAATTCGGATCGTGAACATCACACGCGCAACGAGAGTTGCGCTCACCGGCCAACAGCTCCCGACATCCGTCCTGTAAGCAAAAACCGTCAAAACATCACGCCGCGGCAAACAGACCGCCACCAGCCACGCGTAAGGACTAGCGTTGTCTCAAATGGCTTTCCCAGCGCCGATGTCGTGGTTCCCTAGTAGAGTGGCAATCACCGTGAGGACGCTGGCTGCGCTGGTCCATATGCGGTGTGCATCGACCGTTCGCGTGGCATACCCGCCCGCACGTTTTTTCCACACATCGAGTGCGTCACGGAACCGGGCCGCACGAATGCACCGCGATTAAAATTCCGCGAGCAGGGCTTAGGGTGAAATGAGAGGCCCAAAATGACGCGTGTTTGCATCGGCTGGAAAATGCAAGTGCGAACACAGCCCTGGGTTGCCATCAATTCGTCGCCTTCCCCTGCCAAAAAGTCATATTAGGAACAACAAAAGTCTCCATATTTTTGGGAAGCCCGTGATCTTTGCACGCTTTTTTGCAGCAACTTGAAAGGCACCGCGAACAGTTATGGGACGAAAAAAAGACTCAGCATGGAAAAGCCCAAGTTCCAGGCACAGCGTTCCAGTTTCTAACGTTTCCACCTAGCACCGAGACATCGCTCCCCATTTCACCCACATGACACGCGTTAAACTATCGAAGATTGGAAAAGGCCAAATGTATTGTGGGATTCGGGGATCGGAAAATAGCATTGCAATAAAAAGCTGCCTAGTGGAAAGGCTGGCGAGCTGTGCTTAGGCTTACTCTGATCCCGATAGGGCGTGCAGCAGGAATCTTCTTAGCACTCATGCTATTTTGTGATGGAATCATACGTCAGATCTGACAAACAAAGCCTTCCGCAAAAGGATGAAGCCCACGGGACACATCTCCGAGGACAAGCGGGCATGCGTCACGACTTTATCTGCAGCATCACCCTCACCCAAAGGATATCCACCGAAATTCGTCACTCCAAGACATATTACGTGCCGCGGTAAGTTGCCGCTCTTTTAAGGTTGCGTGATGCATTACGAGACAGATCCGCCAAGCTCGCGAGTGGCGTGCCGAACTCAACGGTAACCCTTCTCGACCGAGCAAAGCAGGGATCACGCTCGGTGATAAGGCGGCGGATTTCTGAAAGCTCCCAGAACTGTCGGCGGAGGCGACGCGCTCCCAACGCTGCGCCACATGCGCAACGTTTGCCTGAGCTCCTCCACGGGCCCAAATAATTGGCATCGCTTCCGCAGCTTTTCCGCGTTTGATTTTTGTCAGGACGAGCACGTGCCGACACGCCTTTATCCGGCACGCTACTGTCGCCGTCCGACGACGCAGCCGTCGGTCGCGCTGGGGCCGCCCGACGGACTCTGTGTATTTGCATAGCTAACGGACCCCGAGGTCACCGGGCCGAAGGACCAGAGGATCGCGGGGGGCGGGGAGCCGGGGCAGCCTGCAGAAGAGTGGGACTCATCCGGCCAGGCCCGGGCAGCAACAGCCCTGCCTGAAGCGGAGGCACAGCGATCACTCCGCCACCACGGTAGCTTCCTGAGCCGAGGACACCATTGGCCTCTGGGGAGCGGCGGAAGTCAGCTGGGGCTCACAGCGCCGGCGGTGCAGGCCCCGTCGCCTTCTGGCGGCCGCGGCTGCACGTCCGGAGAGCCAGCACGGGCGTGACACCGTCAGCCGCCTGCCGCCGGACGTGAGGTCCCTGCCGAGGCACTCCAGCAGACGCTGGCCAGGGTCGGAAGGCCGCGCGCACTGGACGTGTCGACGGCCGTGGCCGAGCCGCTGCCCGCTTTTGGAATGGTATGCCGAGCTATCGAGCACATGGCTGTGGATCGGGCGAAAGTTTGCTGCTTGGCTGCAAAACGGTGCAATGTGGTATGACGGCTTTCGTCAGGCGCCAAGCAGTTCAGGATAGACATTTGCGTCATGATAATGCACCAACGTCTTTAGGAAGTAGGTAATAGTATATAGCCTCTTTCGGGAATCGTTCATATTACGTTTGATCTACAATTATGTTTAATGTTTTCTTTACGCGTGGACACAAAACAATCGTATGTAAGCTTGGTAGGCCTCACTCAGCTTGCTGAGCTCAGAGCCTTCTGCTGACCACTCCTATGCACAGAGAAATGGTCGCACTAGGCCGGACTTTTTTGGACGAATTGGAAAGATGATAACCGCCACGAGCCTGGCTCTATACGAGAACCATGAGAGCTATGAGAGACCCAGCCGTGGTTTAACCCAGATCTTTCCTTTCCGTAATGGAGTCAGCTATAACCCAAACACACCTGGCTCAGGACAGCAGCGCCCGCTATGCGCACGGGTTTGTGTGCAGCCTGATCCTTTCTGTGCGCAACCTAACTGATTTAGCAAATATACCTGACCTTACAAAGCTGACTAGATGAAGATAGTTCAATTGCGTCTAGCTTTGATTCGCCACAATACGGTTGGCCCTAACCTCGACATCTTTTCTCAATACGGAAGCCTCTGTAGTGCCCGGCCTTCGTTTCTTTCGCTGTACGGTGATATTTCCAGCCGACACATAGCCGAGACACACCGCTCTCTGAACAGAGGCCCCCGAAGCTCAGCTGTCCGGAGTTGGCTGATGGTGGCGCCGACACATCTGGCCCCGCGCGGACAGGTCTGTGTGAAGCACCACTCGGACAGGTCTGTGTGAAGCACGACTCGGACGGCCGGTCGAGACACGACTCGGACGGGCGGTCTGTGTTTCAAAGAGCGTGGCCTGGCCTCGCCTGTCACTCGAACAGCGCCGCGCGCCTGCGAGCGCGTCCAGCCCGTGCCCCTTGCAGTTGGTGCAATGGGTCTTCATTGTTCGATAACCGGTTCGGCTGTCACGGGGCGAGACAACTGTCCTTGTCACCGAGTCACGACATCAAGCGGTCCCCTCGAGGTCGCGCAGAAGCAAAGAACGGCTTCTGTCCAGCCAAGTCGTGAGGAAAACTCACAATCTGGGGAATTTTGGGATACTGTGCGACGTGTTGCGTAACGCACCGTGCCCGAACGGCACGCGCGTGAAAATGCTCCCGTAAACTGCGCCGTTTAGCAAACCGCAAACATGTTGTGCCATAATGGGCAGTCTATATCTGTGCGCGGAAATTATGTCGACATCGGCACCCTATACCGGTTCGCCTGACAAAATACAATATACGCGCTGGAGATAATAGAATAGAAAAATACCTCAGATCCGATATATGTATATTGTGGGTGAAGAGAAAGGATAATGCCGCGGGGCAAATTTCCATTGCCAGCGGCACTGGCCCCGTGACGCCGTTTTCAGGTCACCGCGAGACGCTCCCAGCTCCCCATCACTCACTTGTGATCGCGCAGGTGGTCCTGGCGCCGGAACGCCTTGCCGCAGATGTCGCACGGGTACGGCCGCTCGTCCGTGTGCGTGCGCTCGTGGATCAGCAGGTTGTAGCTCTTGCTGAACTGCCGGTTGCAGAACTTGCAGATGAACTGCTTTCGCGGCCGGCTGGCGCGGCCCGGGATGCGCACGTAGCGCCGGTCGAACACGCCCGGCAGAATGTGCGACGTGAGCGAGCCGAGCGGCAGTGGCCCGAGCACCGGCGACGGGCCGCCGAACGGGCCCATCAGCGCCGGCCCGCCGAACGGGCCCACCAGGCCCGGGTACTCGGCGAACTTGTTGCCGGGCGCGGCGCTCGGGTGCTGCGCCGGCTTGGCGGCGGTGCGGCCGGCCATCACGGGCCGGAAGGCGGATGGCTCGCCCTCGGCGCCCAGGGCGCCGCCGGCCGGCCCTCCGCTCTGGTACGCCGCGTACAGCCCGGCCGCGTAAGGCCGCGACGATGGCCCGGCGCCGAACTCGTCCGCCAGCGACATGACCGCGGTCGCGCGGGACTCGGGCCTGAGGGCGGAGGGCGATCTGTCAGAGCGGACCCCGTCAGGCCACGACGGTGCTCACAGTGTCGGAACACAGAACACTCGGCCGGATCAGGCAAGCACACAGGACACGCAACCATGCCTGGACATAGCAGTAAAACAACCACAATTCATTCAGCTTGTCGAATCGTCCGTGTTCTGCATTTGATCACAGTAACTACAAACGGTAAACACAGCAACATTCGCGTCACTGTAATTAATGTAGTTAACAGAGTCGGCCAGGGTAATTAACGGAGGGCCACAGCTTGCGAACACGTGAATAGTAGCTGGCGCCGCGGTACATTGTTTGAGCAGAGGTGCGGCTCGTGACGCGTGCGATTTCGCTCGGTTTAGTTTTGTGGCCGCCGCGAGCTCATTACCGCTAACACACGAGCTTATCGGCGATCTGGTCCACGGTCCGCGGTCTGTGCGGTGGGCTTTCCCGGATGCAGCCAGCTCAGCTGCGGCAATGCCCATAGCGGGCAGAGCCGGTGGGCGCTCGAACCGCGCTAATGAACGGCGCCCGGGCGCGGCAAACGCCGACCCTACAAAAACGGTCGGCGTAAGGCTGCAGGTCACTGGACTTCATGAGAGCTGCAAGATGTGACTCGTGCAGATTGTGGATATCCAGCATCTGAAGCCATTAAGTGCTGTAAAAGTGCCAGAGCCACGGCGCCTGCAGTTGGGTATTGAACTGATCAAAAGTGACGTTTTTTATCGAGTTAAGAACTGGGTGTGCCGGCCGATACAATGTAACGATGCAATCGCGTGGAGGGTGCTGCACTGTTTAATAAAAAGTAGGCTCAGTACCGTTCTTTCTCGGTAAAAAATTCGCCAACGACGGTGAGTCAGCTGGCATGGAGGGTTTCTCGATGCTCGCTACCTGACAAGCTTTCTCCACTTGCCTCAATCGTCACTTCGAAGCGCTTTCTTGCCTGTCGCTTATTCGCAACGTGCCAAATAAAACGCTGAATCAGAGCGAGCGAGACTACAGGTGCAGAACGACGCTGTGGCCTGACGGAAGCTTTAATGTCCCGGAGATGGGCATCCGTCAAGCACAGCCCGCTCAAAAGCAATGAGGTGAGTGCTCAGTAGTGCTCCGCACATGATTTGTTCCTCGACACGCCACACCTGGAGCGTTCCTGAGTCCGATCTCTCCGATCCCCGTCCCCTAGAACCGTCGCCGGGAACCAGCCCTGGCTTGCGTCTCTGGGTGCCGCTGCTTGGCTCCGTCTAAGGTGAAGTAACCGACGTCCGTGCCCGGCTGGCTGCCCGGCTCGTCGTCCGGTCCCGTGTCCGGCGCCGCTGCTGCCCGGCTCGTCGTCCGGTCCCGCATCCGGCGTCGCTGCTGCCCGGCTCGTCACCCGGTTCCGTGTCCGGCGTCGCTGCTGCCCGGCTCGTCACCCGGTCCCGTGTCCGGCGCCGCCGCTGCCCGACTTGTCGTCCGGTCCCGTGTCCGGCGCCGCTGCTGCACCGGTCGCCGCGCGGCTCCACAAACAGGCCGCCGGCGCCGGCTGCCTGACAGGCAGAGCCAGACGCAGACGGCCGGACCGACAGACGCGGTGCAGACGGCAGGACGGTCGTGTCCCTGTCGCGCACCCCGCAGCGACGGCAGCCTTGTGCGGAACAGAACCATGCAGCACAGCGCGGGACATTGGCCTGATGCATCCCACCGCACCCGGCGGACCAAACTGCAAGGGTTCAGCTGCACTGTGCGGAACAGTACAGGGGTTGCTGTTTTGCCGGGCTGTCGAGAACCTTGCCGGAATGTAAGAAACCTCACCGGCCAGGACCGTTCCGAATCGTGCTGGACCGTACCACACTGCAGAGTGTATACCGGGGACGGTAGTGGCGTAGTGGTTAAGGTGCTCGACTTTGAACCTATCGGTCTTAGGTTCAAGCTCCTGTCACGCCATCACCGCATCCTACATGCTACCTGCTAACGGCTTCAGTCTCGAAATAGCACCGACAGTCGGTGTGACATAAAGCACACACCATTAGCATTACAGTATCTAACAGAACACACAGGGCCTCAGTGGGCCGCACAGAGCCGTACTGACCGTGCTGGACATTCTACCAACTACCTGAATTGAACCAAACCGTGTAGAATCTCATCGACCGTACCCCATCGCGTATGGACAGCCGCTTCTAACTTGGCTATATCAGATTGCGCACTGCGGGACCCGTTTGCCTCCATTTACCTGAGCCCCACTACGTAACGTGACCAAAAACGCCCTGACGAAGGCTCCAGCCCCCCCCCCCCCCTCAGTTCATAAGCGACTCGCACGTCCAGCGACCCCGAAGAACAGCTGGCATCCTAAGGCCAGTCCACTGCGGCGCCGACGAGTCACCGGAAGGCCGCAGAGGCCGAAACACGGGGAACGCGGCGCGTCGCGCGTCCGCGGAAGCCGAGCGTGGCTCCCCTTAGTCATATCACGGCGCGGCGACGGTCGATTGACTTGACATGATGTCGCGGTCTGGTTTGCGGCTCGCACCACTCCGTCATCGCCGATAAGTCGCCAGACTGCTTACGTGCTTTTGTGGCCGACGACGCTCAGGCTGCCCTTGAGAGCGAGTTTTTCCAGCAGCCGGGCTCACGTTTTCAGGTAGTGTGCACTGCAGACACTCCGATGGTTGGGAAGGAGACCTGGCTTTCCGTCGGCGCCGGCCGCTGCGCGCCGAACAGGATGGCGCCGGACAATACAAGAACTCTCCGGACCGTCCGCAGCTGACCCAGACGGCGCTGGACCCCAACTGCCACCTGTGTGGAGCCAGCTCAGTCCATCGCGGCTTCAGCTGTCAGCATCCATCTCTGCAGCTGTTCTGCCGACGGAGTTATTGCGGTTGACGACACTCTTACGGCCTGCAATTTAGCTTACCCGTTGCGAATGCATAAGACCGGCAGCGAAAACGGGATCTGACGGCGGAATGAGCCATGGCTGTAGATAGCGCTGGCTTAGACGGCTTCGGACCAAGCGATACCGGGACTTTCTGGGAATTGTTTCCAGGCGAGTCGTCCGCATGATCCTGGCCACATGACGGACGCTGTGACCTATGAGGCTAGGTCACATGACTGACGCCAGGATCTCGGTCTGTCGGCGCAGGGCGGTATGAATTTGTTTACCTTTCCGGGAGCCAAACGCCAATCTTTTGCAGCGTTCTCAGATACCCGCGCCATACCAGTGGGGGCGCTGAGCTCAAACGCCGCCAAGATCGGACTCGTGAGGCTGGATCCTGCACAACATTGCAGTCTGGCTCCCTTCTGCCACCGTTACGCGGCTGCGATTGCAGGCAGTGGCCGGTAAACAGTGCCACCGCGGGCCGGGCGCCCGAACTAGGTCCGCGGTGAGTAAACAGAGCGGACGAGGATGCGTCTTTCTCGGGTAAACGCGGCAGTCCACGCTGACAGGGCGGTCTGATAGCGCAATCCTGCCATCGCAGGATTGCGTTATCAGACCGCGTTATCAGACCGCGTTATCAGACCGCGATATGCGTTATCTGGATCTGGATTTGAGGATTGCGTAAGGATTGCGTAACGCAATCCTGGATAACGCAATCCATCATGTGATCTGACAGCGTGATTGCGTTGCCTGCGACGCAGCCTGCGGACCTTTTCAGGTCAGCCCGGGAGGACCGTGACGGCCGGGCTCGTATGTTCAATAGATGTGGCGTTTGGTCTGGTGGTCTGCGCGACGCCGTCACCACAGCACTGGAGGAGACAGCAGCATGACCGTCCCCATCACTGCAATAGATAGTCGAGATTTGTTATCCCTCAAGTGAGGGAATTCGGAACAGAAATTTTTGGAACAGAGAATTCAAATTCGGGAAAAAATCGGAAAATTGGAACCGAAAATCCGAATTCAGAATCCGGCCGGCGCTCGGGTCAGTGAACGTGTTGTCAACTATACAGTCTCCTTGAGCGGAGCAGTTCTCTATGACATTTGTCTATTTCAGTCAAGGAGGTCATGTGTGCGTCCACCCCTTCACCGGGAAAGGTCATGAAGACACATGTTGTGGCAGTAAAGGAAGTCATCAGAAGGTCAGACCTTCCGCGGGATTGGTTATCAAGATGTCGCATCACAGCCAAGGAGGATATAGCGATCTCCGTACTCCCATTGCGGCGGTGATAGGGACATTCGTCCCCCCCCCCCCCCCAATGTGGAGGTCATGAGAACGTCAGCCTTTCGATAAAAGATCTCTCAGGATGTTCAGTTCCATCCATAAGGACGGTCATCAGTGTCCGTCCCCCAGTGAGGACGGTCATCAGTGTCCGTCCCCCAGTGAGGACGGTCATCAGTGTCCGTCCCCCAGTGAGGACGGTCATCAGTGTCCGTCCCCCAGTGAGGACGGTCATCAGTGTCCGTCCGCCCAGTGAAGACGATCATCAGTGTCCGTCCCGCAGTGCGGACTGTCATCAGTGTCCGTCCCCCAGTGAGGACGGTCATCAGTGTCCGTCCCCCAGTGAGGACGGTCATCAGTATCCGTCCCCCAATGAGGACGATCATCAGTACCCGTCCCCCGTGAGGACGATCAGTGTCCATCTTCGCGTGAGGACGGTCATCAGTGTCCGTCCCCCAATGAGGACGGTCATCGGTATCCGTCCCCCAATGAGGACGATCATCAGTACCCGTCCCCCGTGAGTACGATCAGTGTCCATCTTCGCGTGAGGACGGTCATCAATGTCCGCACCCGCAGTGAGGAAGATCATCAGTATCCGTCCCCCGTGAGGACGGTCATCAGTGTCCATCTTCGCGTGAGGACGGTCATCAGTGTCCGCACCCGCAGTGAGGAGGTGATCGGGATCGGGGCGTCCGGCTGGCGGGGACGGCGATAAACAGAGCCTGCCGCTGCAGTGGACTCGGCCGTCTGTAAACACAGCGGGTCTGCCGGCGGCAGCTTCAGTGGCGCCGCGGCAGCGCTGTTTACAGAGGGCCCGCCGGCGCGCGGCGACCGGCGCCGCCCGACCGCTGCTCCGCCGCGACCGACACACATGGCCTGCCGCCGCCAGGCCGGCCCGGCCGCGCTAGATATGGACGGCGCGTCGCCGCGAACGGATGATGCAGCTGCAACCGGCACATCTCAGCGGCCATAAAATTAGATATGCGACGCTGCACGGTAACGATGGACGACAAGTGGCGCTGCGCCCGTCACACCCGCAGCATATTCTGGGTGAACATCTGCCCGTGTTGCGCGGGAGGAAGTCCAATCAGGGTGGAACTTTCTCAGGGGTGAGTTTTGTTGGTAAGGCCCCCAATGAGTCACTCGGACAAGCCTCTTACCGTCAACGGGACTGAGCGGCGTCAGCGTAAAGGTATGAAGACGTCTAAATGGAATCTAGCGGTGTGGTGCCGCCGGGGTCTTGCTGCGTGACCGAGCAGTCAATGCGCCCCAAAAGCCCCCGCCAGGGTCTGCACCGATCTGCATAATACGGCCGCTACAAGCATAATGGCGTGACTGATTTTAGGTGGTATCGAAAGTTTTCACTTCTATAAGTAACAACAGCGCAATGATAAGAGAGCGCTAAAGCTGGTGTCGATAGTCTGTGTTATTTCTTGTGGATGGGGTTGCGCAGGGCGCTTTTCATTGATAATTGCTAACATGGTGGCGAATAAGAGTTCTTTGCAAAACCGTTTGGAAAGAGCATGCCGTTTGGTGCTGCTCTGTCCGTGGAGCTCGGCTAGCTTCTGTGCTTACGACACAGATCGATGGAGAATGACGTCAATGGTGACAGATGCTATCTATGAAACGGTGGCTCGCTCACAAACATGAACACGGGTTTGGGCTTGCGGGACTCTTATCTTGACTTTCCATTTGCACATCGGCGGTGTCATGGGGCACATAACGTGCTGGCCTCTGGCATTGGACTGGTGTGGGGTGAGAATGAGCTGCTCGGTGATCATGTTCGGTTTTTAAAGTGGCCCGCCAAAATGAACAGGAACGGACGGAATACTGGGCTGTCGGATTACGAATCACTGCATGCGTCAGGTGCCCAATTATCATATATTTGTCATGTATTACATTGGGTTGAATCGCCAATGGGAAGTGAGCTTATTCTGATAGACATGTACTTGCATTACGAGAGATTATACATGACTGGTTTTAGAATTTATGGAAGAGCAGAGGGACACAACGATTAGATTGAAAACTGATTGGACGGAATGTACTTAATGGTGCAATGTGGAATGAACTAAACGTGTAGTTTATGGAACTTACTTCCACTCATCAAGCCCTTTATCATTTCTATAACAAACCTAGTTGTCTGCCTGGCTTTTATTCATAGCTCGATCGATACCCAGCATCCAGTTCCATGCGAATGGCTTTGTCTCGTTCAAAATGGCTGTCACCTATGTGTGAAAATGTATTTCACTTTTAGTCTGAGGCAACAACACTGCCACCAGACAGGAGAGCGGTGGTCACCCTCTCCAATCATATGGAAAACCCGAGAACTGATATAACGGTCGGCCCAAGGATGTGCCGGTATTTCTTCCGGCTGTGCACCCCAGCTACGGCGTGTGGTGAGCCCAACTTAGTGTGACATTGAGTGACAAACGTAATCGACGCGACACTAAGATACATATATAATTGACCTACGTTAGTGATTGTGAGACATTTGGGCATTGGCCGTTTTCCGTATGAGAAGAGGACATGAGAGAACTGAGATAAAATGAGTGAAAAGAGCACCGCACGGCTTTACAACATGCGTGCTGGCTCCGAATCCACGTATTTCCCCCTTCCTAAAAATAAATTAAACTACAATCAACTATCAAAAGCATGAGGATGACTTTCGAGTCTCGACAGAAGGACTTCGTGATGTTCCGAAATGGGATCGGACACTCATTTGGTTTCTCCTTTCCCACCCTTATAACACCTCCTTCTGCATAAAAGGTGCCCACAGTCGTTACGTCCACACTGGGCTAGGCACATCCTTAGGTCTTCCGTCCACCGTTCTTCATTCAGCTTCGGCGTACCCTGCATCGGAGCGCCTTCAGATATCCGACTAATAGTTTCTCAGTAGCTCGCCATCTCTTTGTGATGGTAGCCTCACCAGCCTCAACCCCTGTGACGTCACAAGATCGGTGGCGTTCGACTTGCCGTCGACTTCACGTCGTCACAATTGAAGGCCGGTGCGACGGAGGAGTGAGCGCAGTGGACATGTCAGTGGACGGTAGATAGGTAGGTCGGTAAATGGACAGTGGCCTCCCGCCCTGAGGCGACTGAGCCTGGTCAGTGAGAATATCCGTGATTGGAGTCAAACACAGAAGCGCCCCGCCCGACGCCGGGCGCAAGGACGATGCGAAGAAGCGTGCGTCATACCTGGGGCCGACCTCGTCAACGCACGGAACTGCCGCGGAGACTACAGTAGCCGGTGAGACGCACACGAGACTAGCACCGAGAGACGCCGCCGGGGCGCCGTCGGAGGGAGCGGCGTGGACAGAACCCAGAAAGAGAACGAGGCGGAGACAGAGACAAAGGCAGGGACAGATACCGAGATAAAAACAGAGACGGACACAAAGACATTGGAGGGAGAGAAATATATCTTCACATGAAAAGAGGGGCAGAGGTAGAGAGAGAAAAATAGAGGGGATGGATGAGAGAAGAGGG